AATTAGAACCCAAACATCAGGACAGTGAGGCCTCCCCATCTGTCCATTTTGTCCTCCGCCATGCAACTTTAAGGAAAAACGGATGAAGGGATGTAGAAAAAAGATGAGCGCCCGTCCCCTGTCGCCCTCTGCCAAGGCATTGAACAGCACGCTCGATTTGTGAGACGTGGCAGCTGGCCTATACCTGCGAGCATCTTGAGAAAGGACGGTAATTGTCTGGAAGAGTGTGTTCGTGAGCGCGTGCATGTGTGTGTGAGCGGTGCGTTTCCAGAGGATGGGCAAGGAGATGGCAGGTTCCTAAGGGATGAGGAGGAGATCTGTCTCAAGGACACGCAGCGCTCATCTCTCTCTTGCTCACTCTCCGTTTATCCCTCGCTTTCCTCCCTCATCTCAACCTCACCTTGCCTGCATTAAATTACACTGTCAAAAACTTATTTTGGGCCCCGTTTCCCAAAAGTGCTTGGCTTCGTAAGTCACTTTCACAACATGAGGGAATATAATTCGAATCCATCAAGCCAAATTCAATTCTCGCTTAATTGTTTGGATAAGGGCAATAAAACAAACAGGGCATTGATGTATTAATGTTGAAAATGAAAATGAAAATCAAAGCCTTGATAGACTGGTTCAGCGAAAGACCAGCTTAATATTACTTACTCTATAGTTTAATATTACTTCATACTAATTTGCTAGTCTTAGGTCTCATAGCATAGGCTGGTCTGGTTTCCCAGTTTAAGTGAGGTTTTGGACACTTGCTACCAGGCGCTAGAAAAACCATACAGCAAAACCTTTAATCCATTGGTAAATATATAAATACTGTAACGTGTAGGCTTAACTGGCTAATTTACTGCAAAAAGATATATATAATAATCTTTGTAATGTCTTGTATTTCTAGGTCTGTACAATAAGATATTTTTACTTTAGAAACAAAAAGGCTGGAAACTGGAAAACAAGACAAATGTACTAATTGACAAAATCATTTTTGCGTTGTTGCTTTTATAAAACAAAAGCCACAGCAATATGATTAAAGGCAGCAATGTTTGATAAATGAATAAAAATGTATTGATTAATAATAATAATAATCCGAATAATGTTTTTTTAATAATATACTTAAAGTCTAACATGTTTTTTTTCTTAACTAACTGTAAAGTTAGTTGCCAAGCAACATAGCCACTTGGTGCATTAATATAGAATTTGCAGTCATAGATTTACAGTGATTTTAATATGTTTAACATGACTCATTCATTCAAAATTTTGTGTTGTTGTTTTTTTTTTTCCTGCACTTTCATACTGGTTTTAATATTGCTGCAATTCAGTGTGTATCAGACCTGCATAAATCCAGTTAAGACAATACTGGAAAACAGAATGTTTTTTGGAGGAATAAAGAAGGAACGTTTTCTGTGTATTACATATAGTTGCATTAAAGATGATTTATCTACAGACCAGCGATGTTTTACAAAACAGCACTTTGATCTTCTGAAGGCATTTTCAATATCTATTTCACCCTCTGTTTCTTTTTGTCTCTCTCTCTTTCTCGCACCAGAAGAAGCTCTTCTGCACTGCTGAGTCTTCCTCTGAAACACTCAGGCAGAAAAAAGTTGGGAAATGAACACCAGTCTGACCAGCGGAGGCCTGAAGGTCTGCCATCTGCCACCATGCCTGTGTCGCGGCGGCGGCCACCTTCAGAACATATGCATCAAAGGCCTGGGTGAGTGGACTGAAGGAGTCCTGCAGAAAGCCAGCAGAAGTCCCGCCCCAGGGCTGAGGACCGAAACCAGGCGGCCCAGCAGAAGAGGAGCTGACGGCCATTTTCGCCATCTCTTTTCTTCAGCGAGGCCCACCAAGGTCAGAAGGACAGCAGGCCGGCGAGGGCCTGCCAGCAAAGGAGGAAGAGAGCTTGGCAGTGACTGTTCTCCTACTCTCGCTCTGTCCCTCTCTGTGTTTGTCAGGGCCTCGGGCGTTCTCCTTAACAAAAAGCTCACAGAGGGGAAAAACACTGCAACTCTTTTATCTCTCTTTCTCTTTCTCCTGCTAACAGAATGTCGGAGGAGGTACTGGGCATGCCATGACAGCAGTGGGTCCATTTGTGTAAATTACAAAGGGATTCAGTTATTTGTTGGTAAAGGGAAAGTTCACCCAAAATTTTGAATTATTAACTCACCCTCATGTCGTTCCAAACCTGTATGCGGGATTTTATTTATTTATTGTAGGACAGGTACATTTTGACAAGTCTTCACACAGTTATTTATTTTCTATAAAACAATCATAGTTCATAGTTCATCTGTGTGAGGAAAAAAGCCTGACATTTCTACCTATAAGGCCTGACATTTAATAGTTAAGATAACCACTAAAAATTAAAATAAAAATAACAATTACAATTTTAGATCAACATTTTTTTAAAAGAGATAAATATATCATTTTTAATATATAAATTGGTCTGTATATAATATAATATAATATGAAGTGTAATATATTTGTCTTTTTATTTTTTCACTTTTTATTGTACTGCTGTCGATCTTTTTGTTAAATTTTTCGCTCTCTTCTCTTAAATGTATTTTCAATGTCAAATACCTCTTTGATACGGAAGCGTAGCACATTCACTTGAAGAAAAAAAATCGACTCTGTTTTTCTGAATAAACAAGTTAATTATCTCAGAATTATGAGAGAATTTTTCATGGAAAAAGTTTTTGCTCTCTTTTTCTGAATTAACGAGTTAATTATCTCAGAATTACGAGATAATTTTTCATGGAAAAAAGTTTTTGCTCAGTTTTTTTGAATTAACGAGTTAATTATCTCACAATTACGAGAACATTTTTCGTGGAAAAAAGTTTTTGCTCTGTTTTTCTGAATTAACGAGTTAATTATCTCAGAATTACGAGATAACTTTTCATGGAAAAAGTTTTTGCTCTGTTTTTTTGAATTAACGAGTTAATTATCTCAGAATTACGAGATAATTTTTCATGGAAAAAAGTTTTTGCTCTGTTTTTTTGAATTAACGAGTTAATTATCTCAGAATTACAAGAACATTTTTCGTGGAAAAAAGTTTTTGCTCTATTTTTCTGAATTAACGAGTTAATTATCTCAGAATTACGAGAACATTTTTCATGGAAAAAGTTTTTGCTCTGTTTCTCTGAATTAGTTAATTATTTCAGAATTACGAGATAATTTTTCATGGAAAAAAGTTTTTGCTCTGTTTTTCTGAATTAACAAATTAATTATCTCAAAAATTAGGAGTAACTCATTAATTCATAAAAACAGTGAAAACTTTTTTTTTTTCAACTGACACGCAGCCCTGGTTCTTGAGTTCTTGACTGAATAAAACAGTACCTTATCTAAAAGTTGTTAAAAACAACATTCCTCTACTCATTCAAGTGCATTTGTGAAAAAAAAAACTCAATATAGATAAATATAGATCACAGTATATTACTATAAAACACCAGTTTCAACATGTCATATATCCTGACAGATTTTCTCTGTAAAATGGTATTGGAGCGTCTCCTCAGAGACAGATGGGGTTTGTGGGTGGCAGGGCTGTGGGCAGTCCTTCCTGACTTAAGGGTTAATAGCCAGTCCACAGGGCTGATCCACCTGCTTTTTAATTAGTGTTTTCAGTGCTCACTCGCCCATGCTTATGTGGCAGGTTTGTGCTAGTTTGTATTACAGGTTCAGCAGTCAAGATTAAGTTATAGGCTAAACCGGTGTGACAGCTGAAAATGCTAAATAAACAAATAAAAAGACAATAATCAAATATGAAAATACTCATTATTGTGGAGCACAATGAAACAGAGTGGCATAGGTCGGGTAGCTTGAACCCTGCTGCCATGATTTTTTATTTATGCTAATTACAGTACATTAATTATGCCAAAGCATGCATTCACAGCTACAGGCTTAATGCGATGACATAAAAAAATTCAGCTATTAAAACATATATATTTTCTTATTTTACTGCTAACTGGGTAAACTGTTTTGCCAATAATGTTCTTTTTTATTTACTTCTTTATTTATTATAGCTAATTTAATAATAAATAATAATAATTTAAAATTTTACTTATATAATTGTATAAGTTTTTATTAACATTTTATTACATTCATTGTAATTGATTTTGTGTTCATTTATTCATCACTAAATATTTACATAAAAAAATAATCGTGCAGATGTATCCTCTGTGTAAATGCATTTATGTCAACTCTGTGCAGCAATAAGGAGTTTTTCGGTATACTGTATATATACAGTATATAATGCAATAACGCACAATATTGTAATAAAAAATCAACTTATATCACCTTAACTATATACTTATATATATATATATATATATATATATATAGACCATTTCACAAGATGTAAACAACACTGGTCCAGAAGCACTTCCTGTTTCAGTTTTTTAATACTACATAAAAGCTGGGGTAAAATACAACCAACAGAACATTTAAAACTGAATCAAAAAGTTGAACAAGCATCTTTAAGATGTTTTCTTTATATGTGAAATAAAGAAAACAGTTACAAACTGAAACAGGAAGTGTTTCTGGACCAGTGTTGTTTACATCTTGTGAAATGGTCTATACTGGACAAACCCAGCTGTTGGATTACACTTTTAAATAGCATTTTTAATCCAACATTTGGGTTGGTTCATATGACCCAAAATTTAGTTAAAACAACCCAGCATTTTTTAGAGTGTATATGTATATATATGTATATATGTATATATATACATGATACATATACATACTTCTATTCTATCAAGAGCTATACACACACACACACACACACACACACACACACTTGTGTGTGTGTATATATATATGCAGCTCTGGATTCTGTACCACTTTTACTTAGGGAGCAGAACAGCTAATATTTATAATATTGTATATTATTGCAGTCTAAATATGCCCACAAATTATAACCAGTTAAAATAAAATAGGTTCGTATATTAAAATGTTTTCTTGAGTATTTTTCAACGTCAAACCATCCTCATCATACATACCATAGTACCTTTCCATTCTGGAGCTTCATCCTTACAAACAGTGACTTTTTTTTCTTTTTTTTTTTTCTTTCTGCAGAGTACCAGAGGGGTACAGGTGAAACGCTTGCCCTATGTGGCACTAAATAAATCAGCACAACCTTTGGCTTGACCTTTTTTCATCCTGCGAACTTTTCCTGACCTTACAAGACATGCTCGGATTAAAGGCTCTTTTCTTCTAGCTCACCGGTGACCCAGCACCTCCGCCCCTCCGCACCCTACACATCTCCCATCTGACTTCACTGCCTTCCCTCCCCTGTAGGCAGATGAAGTTCAATCCATCCCTACTTTTGTTTCATATCCTTAAGATCTATCACTTCAAAAGCCGCGGCTCACTGCGGCCACCACTGAACGCCGCGAGAGGCCACTCAAGAATCAACTCCATCAGCACTGTCAGGACCCTGAAGACCTTCAGCTCCACACTGGGGACCCCTCCGTCTTCCTCAGGGGGCCCCCTAAGCCCTGTGGCACCCGGGGGCCCTGTAAAGGATATCAAAGATGAAACATCAATGGGAGCCACTTGAAGGATGCGCGACAGAACTGGAGAAAAGGCCACAGCAGAAAATATGATGCCAGAAAACTCCAAGCGAGAGGAGGCGTTCTTCTTTGCAAAAACCCATCATAGTGCATTAGAAAAATCACTTGTTAAAACAACTTAGTGCTTTCATTATGTCAAATTTCATTATGTTGATTTTTTTATAAAGAAATGAATACATTATTCAACAAGGACACGTAAAATGTATCAAAAGAGAGAGTGAAGACATTCATAATGTTTAGGTTTCTAAATAAATGATGTTCTTTTAACTTTCTGTTCTTCACAGAATCTCAGTTTCCAGAAGAAAAATATGAATAATATGATGATGATGTCACTCTAAAAAATGCTGGGTTGTTTTAGCCCAAATTTGGGTCAAATATGGACAAAACAACCGTGGGGTTAAAAATATCATTTCAAAATATAACCCAATGGCTGGGTTTGTCCATATTTGACCCAAAATTGGGTTAAAAAGACCAAGCAATTTTTAGAGTGTAATAAAAAATGTTTCTTGAGCAGCAATTTAGCATATTAGAATTATTTCTGAAGAATCTTGTGACACTGAAGACTGGAATAATGATGCTGAAAATTCAGCTTTGCCATCACAGGAGTAAATAAATTAGTCATATTTCACAATATTTTATTCCTTGTCATGATTTTGTATCCAAATTTATTACAAAAGGTTACTGACAGCATAACTTTTGGGCAGCTGAGTATGTGAAATATAAAACTTAGTTTCATATAGTAGCCTGCAGGATTTTGAATAATTATGATTTACAAGATACATTAGTTTAATAAGTATAGTGCAAATTAAAATGAACTTAATAGGGCTGTCAATGCAAAGTAAACAGAATTAATTGCAAATATCAATATACTGAGAAAAGTCACAAAATATACAATAATTCAACAACGTGCGTGTGACAGAAGAATGCAAAAAATACACATTACAAAATGCCATTGGCCGTCTGTCCATTCTGCACAGCATGAGTTTTTATATTCCATCTGCATTTTTTTTGTGGTTTACATATGCAGATGGACGTTTTTGGCTGTCCAGTCACATCTTATATCATGACAATTCCATGTTACTACATAGGTGTCAAGAGGCACCATTAATTGTAATATATAATCTAGGCCTGTCAAACGATTAATCGCGATTAATCACATCCAAAATAAAAGTTTGTGTTACATAATATATGTGGGTGCACTGTGTATAATTATTTTGTATATATATATATATATATAAATACACACACATGCATGTATATTTAAGAAACAAATATTATTTATATTTAAAATATTTATATTTATATAATATAAATTTTATATATATATATATATATATACAGTATATATTCTTAAAGTAATTATACACAGTGCACCCACATATATTATGTAAACACAAACTTTTATTTTGGATGCGATTAATCATTTGAGAGCCCTAATATAATCACACTAAATTATGTATTTTTTAATGTAAATTTTTATGTAAATTTTTTATGTATATTATTTATATTTAAAATATTTATATTTATATAATATAAACTATATATCTATATACAGTATATACATGAAAATATTTCTTAAAGTAATTATACACAGTGCACCCACATATATTATGTAAACACAAATTTTTATTTTGGATGCGATTAATCATTTGAGAGCCCTAATATAATCACACTAAATTATGTATTTTTTTATGTAAATTTGTATGTAAATTTTTTATGTATATTATTTATATTTAAAATATTTATATTTATATAATATAAACTATATATCTATATACAGTATATACATGGAAATATTTCTTAAAGTAATTATACACAGTGCACCCACATATATTATGTAAACACAAACTTTTATTTTGGATGCGATTAATCATTTGAGAGCCCTAATATAATCACACTAAATTATGTATTTAATTGGAAATAATTGTATTTATATTTATCTATTATTTTAATTTTACAGTTGAACCCAATTGAATTGTATTTATTATATAATTATTTAAGTATATGATATAATTATTTCATAATTGTTTATTAATTAAAAAAAATGTATTGCAGACGAAAACCATCTGTCACATAAAATGAGAGAAAATAAAGAAAGAAAATCAGTCAATAAGTGATTCTAAACATGGATTACATCTTCCGGAGAAAACAAGCGACTGCTCTGTTCTGAAAAGGCAATCCTCTCAGTCTTTTGTGATGGCCTAGTTTATCTGAAAGTTGTCCCCAAGCAGCGGCTAAAGGAGTCTGTCCGAGCGATTGGAAAGCGACTAAAGGATCAGGGGCGCCTGATTATGATCCTCTGCACTATTCTACTCCAGCCTTCTGGGCCGCCCTGCTTACTTCCCTTTTTACATTAGGCAAGTGAACAAAGCACAGATCTGGCATTATGGATTAGCAATGTACCTTTTTTTTACCTGACTTGGAAGCTCGTAGCGGAGAATGTTTTATCTGACCGCGCTATCCCATTAATATGGCTTCTTTTGTTTCCGCAGCCTTGTGTCCTATTTAAACCGGAAGGCCCGGACGATCTGCTTGGCCGGTCGCTGCACCTCCCCACAATCCTTTGGAGGGTGCAGGAGGATCACAGAAATGCACTGATTAGCCGATTGCTAACACCTTCAGGGGTGTCGGAGAGTCTCTCTGAGAGAAAATCTTCTACGTTTGTCTGCTGCCGTCGTGATAACATTGTTAGCCGCTCTGAATGTGTCAATAAAAGCGTCGCTCCAAATTTGCAGATCGCTCGAATGCTCTCAGCATTGCTCCTCAAAAGCAGCTCATGATTTAGCGAAGGAGGGTGGAGGGCGGGCAAGTGAGCGGGCCATGTGTTTGCGAGAGGAGATGGCTCCCTTCGCGCCGCCACACACACACACACACAGACACACTAGCCAGCCTCCACTGGCCAGGATGAGCGGCTTTTTTGGAGCCAACGGAGAAAACATGGCACAATATGCTGCGAAGTCTGGAGGTGACGGGAGAGCGAGCTGATAAAGGATGACCCGTGAAATCCTGCATTTGCAAACAAACACACGGCTGTTTGATAAAGCTTAGTGAAACACAGCAGGCGGGGAGAGGGAAAACAGACATTACGATCAGGCCTCTTTTTCAGTATCTCTCTTGTGATGCAGAGATAATGCTGTGCTTCTGATACCATGCCCAAACTTCCAGCCAATGAGAGCAGAGCATAGTTTTACACGCTGAAATTGAATATTCTTCATTAATTGGGACATATCAATTCCCGTCGGTGGGTCGGGTTTGGCCTACGAGGAAAACAGCCTCATAAATGTATTAAGTATATGTCTTGATTAAAATCTAAAACTGCAAAAAGGGTTAGGTTTGGGGATATGTTTAGGACACAGAAAATAGAACAAAAAACAATAGAATTTAATGTTATATCAGAAATATGATGGAAAAATATACAATTTTTTTGACAACCAAAAATATTATGCCAAACCTTCTCCAATTATGCATTCGAGTGTGCCGCCTCTATTTTAAAACCCACCAGCCGCCACTAGTAGCAATAACTGTGTGTATAATTTGTTTTTCTGAAATATATTGGCGGCTCATTGCTGAAAAACTTTATCACAAATGGTTTAATTTCTCACATAGTACACATCACCCTGAACAGCAGTCTGCGTTTAGATACCCAGCTACCCAAAATTCATTGCTGAAACTTTATTTTCAGTTTTGTTTTTTGGCTAAATGCAAACTTTCAGTTCATCACCAAAAATAAATGTGACTCTGCAAATAAAATATGATAGGAAAACCCCATTGTCTTTCAGATAATGTACTGTACCCACTACTCCCAAATTGTAAATTTAGCTGAAAGGACTACATCTCCATAACCCTGAAATGTAAAATCCAAGCAGTGCCAAAGGTATCATTCCTCCTCATTCCTCTGGCTGCCGGGTACCTCAGCCAACATGGCTGCCATTCAGAACGGACATGAAAGACTAGCAATATTAGAATTCTATTACAGAGAGACGACCATCAGATGAGTGTGTGTGTGTGTGTGTGTGTGTAGCATTCACATTAGCAAAAATTAGCACAAAAAGATCCATTGTCAATAGAGATGTATGAAGCATTACTCACAGAAACCAAGCATCTCACAGTTGAAACCATGAGACCAACTTGAATATAAACAAAATGTGTGGAAAATGTTTTGATGCTGGAGGAAGTTAAAGTTAAAGGGATAGTTCACTTTGAAATTAATGTTTGGTATGTTTTAGCTTACCTCAAGGGCATCCAAGATGTAGGTGTCTTTGTTTCCGCAGTAGTTTCAATTTTGATAGTTTTAGGTCAAACCGTTCTTGTCTGTCAGCCATATAATGCAGGACTATGGTCACCACCTAAAAGAGCATGCACAGAGAAGTCTAAATTAAACATGATTTAATGACTTGTAAATGTAAGTACACATTAATGGCCTAAGACATGAAACGAGCGGTTTGTGTGAGAAAACGAACAGTATTTATATAGTTTTACCTCTTGTAACCACAGGCACGTCCAAGTGATCTGAGGGCGCGGCTGCTTTGTGGCTGTGGTTACAAGAGGTAAAAAAGATATATAAACGATATGTGGTTTATATATTGGTAATATAGTTGTATTTTAAGTATCGGGTTAAAAAGAAAAAAAAAATAGATTAAAACCTAACAAAGTTTAAAATATTAATTGTACTTGAAAAGTTTGTGTGCGATCGTTTATCTGATACAATGACAACAATTCATTACATTTTAAAGCTGTATGTTTATGCAAGAAAGGCACCTGTTCTCTTTCTTATAATGGTGAATTTGATGATTTTTTTCTGTCCTCTTTCATGCTGTTGTTTTCCAACAACATTCACATTCACGCAAAATGCATGCTCCCATCCTCCACAAGGACGTCTAGAAGGCTAAAAGGCACAATCTGTTTCCCTTTGTTAAGATCGGTGTTAAAACAAAGCTGTGTCCGCCATCCACTTCGCCATGGGAAAAACAAAACGCGGCTCGCCCGCATTGCAATTAAGATCTTTTAAAAGAAAAGCAGCAATCCTTCAACTGCGAGGCTTCACTGAGCACCTACGATTTGCACAAATAAGCATAAAAACAAACAAATAGTCCATTATCTCCTTTTGAAATCTATAATGTGTAATTTCTTTATCTTCCTGATTATGGTACTTTGTGATGCTTGAATGGGAAGCCTTGCAACCCTCCCCCTTACTCGCCACTACAACAAACCGCCAAAAAAAAACAGAGTGCATTGAAATCCATGTGGGTAGAAAAATTGAAGGGGTTAGGGTGAGGAGCAGGGTGTAATGATAACCTTGTTGGGATGATCCTTTCGCTTCGGCTCCATTTTCTCCAGCTGCATCGATTCGCTCTCTCTGCATGAATGAAGGTAAATCTGCAAGAAACCTCCCACTTATTTTATTTTCAGCTCACTTTCCCATAATTCCTCCCCCTAAAATTGTTTGCACAACAATGCTGCAAAACATCTGCAAAAACAGATAATTAATGTGTCAAGTCAAACTAATGCATTTTATATGAAGACTATGCTTCACTGGTTGTAATTATAACACATTTCTCTCCCTCAGTTACTCTCTTCCCACACACACCTTCCACCCCTCTGAAATGATTACTTGTTTGATAATGCCTGGCGAAACATGGAAGCACTTATTCATGGAGTGTGTGTGTGCGCTCAAATGTGTTAGCCACCTCCACCTTGATGGTTCGCTGAGCAGAAAATACACAGTGTCCATCTCCAAACCTGTGCTCTGTGGTCAGCCTGGCCACCCACCATAGAGGACGTACTACAGAAGACACAAAATTCACAGGGTTTTTAACAATTTTTGTAATAAACTTTCATTGTAATAGTTTTAATAGTAATATTCAAACCTGACATTTATTATACTTGACATGTTTCTGGAGATTTATGAACTTAAACATACTCTTATGCTCACAAAAAAATGCATTTGATAAAAAATAAGTAATATTAATATTGAATATTAAATGTAATGTACTCCTGTGATGGCAAAGCAGATTCTTCAGATCAGATATTATTCTAAAATGCTGATTTGAATAAAAGAAAAGAAAAAAAAATAGCCTGATGATTACGGTATGTTGAAAACATTTCTGCTGCTTAATATTTTTGTGGAAACCACAATAAAACAAAATCCAGGATTGTAATAATAATATTTATTTTGTAACATTATGTCTTTACTTTCACTTTTGTTCAATTTAATGTGTCCTTGCTGAATCAAAGTATTAATTTCTTTAACTCTTTCACACGTAAGTTTAAAATCTTCCCTCCTGACCCTCCAGCGCAAGTTTTTAAGGCCTTATTATTTCCATGGTGATGCGTGAAAAACTACTGAAAGAAGTGTTACCTGTGGTGGAAGAGCCTCTTTTCAATATTATTAACTCGTCTTTATTTTTAGGTCATGTTCCAAGAATATTCAAGCTGGCCGTAATAAAACCTCTCATTAAGAAACCCTAATTAGATCCAAAAAGCCTAGCAAACTACAGACCCATTTCAAATCTTCCATTTATGCCTAAAATACTAGCAAAAGTTGTGTCCGCTCGGTTGTGCTCTTTCTTGCAATAAAGAAAATTATATCTATGAAAAATTTTAGTCAGGATTCAGACTGCATCATAGCACAGAAACTGCGCTAGTTAAAATTAGAAATGATTTACTTTTAGCTTCTGACCAAGGCTGAATCTTAATACTATTCTACACGATCTTAGCGCTGTGTTCGACACTATAGATCATAAAATACTCTTGGGTCGACTACAAAACTACATTGGTGTTCAGGGACAAGTATTAAGCTGGTTTAGATTATCGGACCGTTATCATTTTGTCTATTTAAATGGGGAAAAATCGAAGATAAAGTCAGTAGACTATGGAGTGCCGCAAGGATCAGTGTTAGGCCCTCTGCTATTCTCAATATGCTGCCACTTGGTAATATTATAAGAGAACATTACAATTTTTCCACCTTAGAAAATTGCTAAGCTACGTAGCATGCTATCATACATTTCTGAAATGCACTTTCTGTAAAGCTGCTTTGAAACAATATATACGAGAATGAACCTCATTGGTTCTCGCACGTCAAGCAAGCATGCTTGAGCTTCCGTTTTTGCCACGTCTGATGTGTGCGTTGATTTTTTTCTTGCGAATAAAAGCCTAAATTAAATCAGACCGCTCAATTCATATGGATTAGTTTTACGATATCTTCGAACCGTAGTTGCGTCGCATGTCAAAGGGGGACAACAATCTCTCAGATTTCATTCAAATATCATTATTTGTGTTTCGAAGACATGAGGTTGATTGACAAAATTTTAATTTTAGGGTGATTTAACCCTTCAAAGCAAGTGCATTATAAAGGTACTTATAATGGACGTTATAATGCTTTATATCGTTTCATAAATAATTTTAACCAAAGTTAAAATGCATTATATTCGCAGATTCCTTGTTCCATCTGAAATATTTTTTTTCTCATGTATTTTAATGCATTATACTTGAATTAACTAAAATTTATTTTAAAAGCTTCAAGGGAAGTGTTACCAAAAGACTTTGAACAGTAGTCTAAATACAATAATAAATAAAACTCCACTGTACTTACTGTAATAGCAAGGCCTCAACAGCCTGATTCAAGTTATCTGAAGTGCTGCAGTGCCTGCATTATTAAACATCACACAACAGTGTGCATGAAAACCTCAGATTGTCTCTGTATCAAAAATGCCAACTACTTCTCATATCGCACAAATAATAGAGTTCAGACAGAGTACAAATTCACATCTCCAGGTGTGAGAGGCATTCAATGTGTGCAGGAATCTGAGGCGGGCAGGTCCCTGGCGAGTGGCTCCTTTTCACCCGGTCAGCAGGACAGGAGCCGAGCGAGCCAGCGGACCAGCAGGAGTGAGCCCCTCCTGGGGTAAAAAGCAGCTCCTGCTGCCCCTGTTGCGCAGCACGGCTCCAGAGCTGGGGGCGAGACAGGGGGAGGCCACTTCTATTGGGCAGGAGTCTCACCATCAGCCAATAGGACAGCAGGGAGCAGTCGGATGCCAGGTGCCTCATCTCCAACTACAGGTGGCTGCAAATACATAATCAATTCTGTCATTTCTCACCTGCAACTGGGAGCTTGGATCAGTGTTAGACAGCTTGAGGTTCATGTAATGAGCTTGTTGGAAGGACATCGCCTTTATTGTGTGTTTTAAGATTCCTAAAGCATATTTATCATTTTTAGGCCATTGACCTTCATTCGCTTTCATTAAAATAATGCAGGACGTGTCAGCTTCAGAATCAATTAGGAGAGTCATTCTGATCTAACCTTTGAGATTATTTTAAATTTGACAGGAATATGATATGGGCTAATTGCCTTATCATCTCGTCTTTCCTTTCGAATTATATTCATAATGTTTTGTAATAGCTTCTATTGCAAACACAGCCGTCATTTCTCTGCCCTGCAATAATGCTATAATAAATGCTGGCACAATATAGTTATGTTATCCGTATCACTTAACCAATACACTGTAGACATTATCATCATTATTACTATTATTATTATTTGGCTGCCTTAAATCTCTAAGTACAATCAACTTGGATGTTTAAGTCATTTCAACTTAAATTACATTATACTGACTTAAAAAAATAGTTTCATATTTTATAACTTATTAAAAAAAAGTGTAAAATTGCAATACAATGTAAAAACATATGTTGTCATAACTTATTAATAATATTTTTTTTTACAGTGTAAGATATATGAGCCTGATTTCATGAAAGTTCGAATCTATAGCACGAATGTCGGATATATATTTCATTACAATTAGTGTGCTGACTCAACATCTTAAAGTAAAAATCGAAAAAAATGATGTATTTAGCAAACCAGAGATACAAACCAGTCACAAAACAGAGTCTGAAAGCAAACCTACATCTAAAAATAATTCTAAAATAAAATCTATACAGATAAATAAATGAATTATTTTTGAATTAAAAAGCAATCGTCTGTTTCAAAATGATTTTGCTTTAAAATGGGTTAATATTCTCAACCGGACTGATGTTTACACATCAGGAACCACAATAAATATGAAGAAATGTCGAGCTATGTACTTTACTGAAATAATCCACTCTGATGCCTGTCAATTAATGATCCGTTCTGCATCAAATACCCAAATACTGAGGTCACAGGCAAATTAATGAAACACAGCCTACATGTGTTAGCCAATTAAAGAGGAGGTCAACCTCGAGGGAGGGCCTTTATATATTAATGGACTCCTCTGGTCTGTTGTATAATGGAGTCAATAAGCTACATAGATGCGCAGTGTAGCTAGAGATTTTTTATTAAAATACAAAATGCATTCTAAAAATTATGTATGATAAAAATTATGTAAAATAATGTATTTCTAAAAATTACAATGCATAAGCAACACAAGGCATTTATAACTAGCACACATTTCTGGTACACATTAGAAAATGAACAGTGCACATCAGCATAAGAATGTTCAGCATAGTTGCAAAATATGTACTGAAGACATTGACAAATTATGTTTATGAAGCTCTGTGAACTGAGAGGTATGATTAAAACTATAGTTTAGGATGTTATCACATCTGTGATGAGCATCTTTCTTCAAAACAGCATAAAACACAATGATTATTCTTGCACTGAAAAAGAGAAATCATTAAAATATATTTCATATATACTTTGTATATATAGTGCTTAAAAAATCAGCAATATAATAAAATGTAATAAATATGATACTGTAACAGTGCTACTGGATCAGGTTCTCCATCACCAGAGTTCAATGCAATACTTGACAACAGATCACAGCTGCCATAAAACATGGACACACACAAATCACATATATGTGCAAGTATGCACAAAAGCATCTCTAAAGCCCTTTTGTCATTCACCGGGAAAAGTCATTTATCCTCAAAACAAAACTTCATAAGTGTATACAATATTGTTTCACTTGTCAGTTGCAAGGGTTTCTGTATGACTGGCTGTGAATAATATGTGTGTAACTTTACATTTGCGCCAGCATTATTCTGAACATATTGATCGGTCACCAGGATTGCTGATCAATGTTCTGAACTACGTTCCTGCACAATAAACATCTCGCACGAAGCAAAAACTAAAGGAAACGAAACCATAATTAGTCTACATCATTACAGCAGTATTCAAAAGCTGCAAGGAAATTCAATGGAAGAAGGGAGGGGATTGTTTATTGAGATTTCTGATCAATATGAAAACTTTGCTTTTAAACATGACGTGGGTTGAAGAGCTGTTTTTTCTGCAAGTAGATTTTTTTTTTTTTTTTGTAATTGTGGGACTTTTATGGCATTCCCACGAAATGAGAACCACTTAATATACAGCTGAGTGATATTTGATGACTAAAATTCTGAATGTAGCCTACATACTAATAGAGACTGGGACACAATTCTTTATTTCTTTTAAAAATAAATTTTATTTCTTTTCTTATGTCTGGTTTACATTGCAAACAGACTAAAAAGAGCAAAACGTTACTCTACGAGTTAAATCTGGTCTGTTTTGATAGGCTTTATGCTGAACGTCACATGAACAAACAGGAAAACAGCTCTCATTGCAGGGCATCTAAATGTTAGTGTTAAAAATAAAAATAAAAACATTTAAATATCAATCTGGATATGCGATGGAGATTGGTTGAGCTGATCTTTGCTCGCTCCTTTGAAGGGATCTTGTATTGGCTAAAACTGCTAACAAAGCACTAGGCCTAAAAACCTGAACCGGAAGCGATGCACGTCGAAACTTCCGGTAATTAGCAGAAATATTTGGACTTTTAACACTTAATTTAACATGTAATTACATTAAAGATGATTATGAACACATATGGGTATGTGCAAATACATGTATAAACTAAGCTATGAGGCTAATTCATGTATCTGTATGCTATGCTAATACATAAGCTAAGTTAGCTAACTAATACAGACATTAATGATCTTTATAAAATAGTTCAAACTGCATTTTCCCATTATAACATGACGTTGTAGGAATTGTAATAATAAATTAAAAGTAATTTGAGCCAATGGGATCGCGTGGTCCTAACCTTTCTGCTGCCGATCGTTTGTTGAACCCCCTCTCAGAATATGTTTGTTTGTTGCAGATAGACACATTAACTTTGACTAAAGTCTCTCAGAGTTTAGTTTGTAAGCAACATATTCAAGTAGGCCAATGAAAAAAGAATGAATAGTGTAAAATTATGTTTATCTGGGCATGCAATGTTTAGACTGTTCGAAAAGGACCAAAACCACAGCCTCATTAGGCTATTATTTTGGACCAGCAAACTGCATCCATTAACCATTTAATGAAAATCTTTTCTAATCTAAATGAGTGTTGATTTATTTGATGTGCATTAGCCTTTTCAATGCTAAAAGAAGAGTATACACCTGTGATGCTCTCAAAGATACCCCATTGACACAAGTGCTCTGAAACTGAGCACAATGAACTTTTTGGCACACTCCATTCACCAAGTAATTCATGACCTCTGAACACAGAATTTTCTTTGGCAACACGAGAGCATTGATAATTAATACGGCTGGGGTAATTTGCAGGTGCAGATCTTGATTTATTCTTAGTCCTTTCAGGAGACAAAACCCCTAAAGGAGCTGGGGCAAATAATCAAAGAGCGACATTTCCGAGTCAATTCATTCGGGTTATATATAAATATATATAAAACCGTTTTAGCTGAAGAACACTTTATTAAACTGACTGTCCACCCTTTATTTGGGATAATGTATTGTGATAACAGAGGTTAAGCGACACACTCAATGTTTTATTAATCAACAATATGCAGATAGTTACCGACACATTAAAAACTAGAAGCAGTTCATTAAATCAAATTAAAGTGCATACTTCATCTGTTTTTGTAAGCTATTAACACCTCATAAATAATACATAGTACATGCAACTCGTGCTTCCAACCATAGAGACTGAAAAGACTGTGTTATAGAGACCTCTACTGTTCTATGCTTGTAAATGCATTTTCATTTCACCTGAGGTTCGTTTTACAGTCTATGGTTTTCACTCGCTGAGTGAAAAATTACATTACAAATTATTTATTAAACAATGACTCTATAATGTAGCTTTGAGTGAACTTTAGGGAAATAAACTATCTTTAAACACATTTTTCCCTCTCTCACTTGTTTATTATTGACATGCAGGACTATTTTTGTTATTATGGATTTTCACATTTTAATATTGAAATGTAAAAAAATAAAATAATAATATGATCCTCATGTAGGCACTATAACAAAAAAAGACATAAATAAAAATAAATAAATAATAAATATATGTTCCTTTGCATTCCTTAATGAATCTGTCTGCACACAAGTTCGGCTTCTTACTATATATTATTGGTATAAAGATTAAGTGTCTTGAAGCAGTCTAAAATCATTATCAGTCAGTTTTCAGTCTGTGAAACTGGATATAATCTATATTATTTTTAAAAACACATCAACCAAGAGCGAAGCCATAATTGATAGAAAATAAAAACAAAGACTGTTGTTAATTTGATGTAAGCCTTAAATTTGTTGGAAGCAAGTACATTCTTAGTGTAGAAGTAAAAAAAAAAAAAAAATACCAAGCAATACAGTTAAATATAGTTGCTAATATGAGTGATATTTCATCATCTTTTTTTCTTTTGGCCAAAGTTATGCACATTGACCCAGAGAGGAACAAATAAAGATCATAGAACGCAAAGGGTGTATTAAATTAGCAGCACCCCAGACGTCCTGGAAGATCTTCCAGCACCTGCATCTATCCCTCATCTCCCCTCACTCATCAGTATTCCCTCACAAGAGAGAGGGAGCATCTCTGTTTGGGTGTTCTCCCTTCTGTCTCTCCTCAGGCTGATGTGGAGGACAGTGAACAAAAGTGGAACACAATCAGTACTGAGCAGCTGCTGGCATCGTGACCCCCAACCCACCCAACCCCTCTGTCTCCCACTCCCTCACTCAGACACACACACAAAGCCTTGAAAATGACCACATAACCTTCACCAAACTGGGAATCTCCCTAGGCAACTGAGGGAGTTCTGCTCCGGTGGGACTGTATTCCAGTAAATCATCGGTGTCATGAGCTTACATGCACACACATTCACCTAGCCTACTTCAAGTCTTTCAAATGTGCTCACACTCACTGATCTCAACTTTACATGGATGGATGGATGTGGATAGATAGATAGATAGATAGATAGATAGATAGACAGACATGTTTATTCTAGCACAGTTTGAAGTGTATTTTCAAAAGGCCATGTCTTTCTTTCTTCAGTTGAAAAGAAATTAAGGTTTTTGATTAAAAGTTTCCAGGATTTTCTCCATATAATGTACTTCAATGGGAATCAAACGGTTCAAGGTCCAAATGAGAGTTTCAGTGCAGCTTGAAAGGGCTTTAAACGACACCAGGCGATGAATAAGGGTCTTATCTAGCGAAATGATCGCTCATTTAAAAAATGAATAAAAAATTTTAAGTTTTATAAGCACAAATGCTCGCCTTGCTCTGTTCTGTGATGAGTGTTCGTGACTCTCCCGTTCAAACACGTTTATCAAAATGAACAAATCTTTTTTTCGAGTCAGGACTCGAAGGGTCCTAAGACACTTATTCATCGTCTGGTGTCGTTTAAAGCCCTTTGAAGCTGCACTGAAACTCTCATTTGGACCTTGAACCGTTTGGTTCCCATTGAAGTCCATTATATTGAGAAAATCCTGGAATGTTTTCATCAAAAAACTTAATTTCTTTTCGACTGAAGATAGAAAGACATGGACATCTTGGATGACATGGGGGTAAGTAAATTATCAGCAAAAGTTTTTTTTAAAAGTGAACTACTCCTTTAACTCGCATAAAAAAAAAAATCAAGCTAAAGTTAGGTGACGGCTTCATCAAAAAGTATAAGCACAATATCAGCTGAAATTCTTTAATTAAATTCAGTTTCTTTTTAGACATGCATTTGCATGCCACTGTCTTAATGTACAGACTCAATAAACCAGCATAAAAAAAAAAACAAATCCACAAAACAGTCATGGACCGTAGACACCACACCATCAAATGCTAAAGAATAATAGTTTGTTTTAAGAGCAACCGTGCAATACAGAAGAATAGATTTACAGCATTTTGGCTGTAAAAAATATCAATTTCTTACATTATTTCTTCATAGGGGCAACATTTAAAGTATTTGTTTACTTCAAAATAGAGCCTAAATGACATAGTGTTGATTCCAAACATTGACTGTACTCAATCAAATATATTAAGAAGCATATGTTTGTTAACAGTCCAAAAATATAAAAGCAACGCAATAGAACATTGGATGAAAAACACTAGCTTGGAAATTTGACTTTACCTTTTAAGACCAATAGATGGCAATCGTACCTCACCATGGATATACACATATTCTTGCTTATTTTCTATTTTTTCTCTCACCGCCATTCCTTCTTTACCTGCATAGTGCCAGTGTGGCAGTGAAATCCTGTTTCTGAAGAAGCCGTTCCTTTAGCAGAGCAAACCAGTTCGACACGCCTCAGGAGGACTGTCACAAACACTGTTTCATTACTACAAAACAAGGATTTCAAATTAAACCGTTTGCTTAAAAAGCTTAAATAATAACAATATTAATTAAAATGCCTGGTACTTTTTACAAAATGTGAATAAATACTGAAATCTAATGTTTCATTGCATAATGTCTCTGTTGTTTACTTGAGCTTACTGGGCGGTGTGTGAGTTGGAGGAAGACCGAGCTGCTCTGACAGCTCAATAAGTCATACATTTAGAGGCCAATGTGCCGAAGTTTTCCGGGTGTGAGTTAGGGAAAGAGGACGAAACTAATACATTTTCAACGCCCATATCTCGTTATGTGGGTCAGATAACTGGATTTTATCGAGCTATGTTTTGCTAATCGAGAGCGGTCATTGCTGCATTACACAAAAACAAACGCGTAGCCTATTTTTCGCCACATTTAGGGACAGAAAGGTTTGTTTTTATTACGTTTTGTTTATTTTAGGAGCTCATATCGCATGTTAATGGTGATTAAATTATTGATACCACGATGGCAGTGAAGGTAAGTTTTGGCATAACACTGGGGTGAACACTATTGATGAAATGACTATGGCGCATTATGTGGGCTATTTGTCTCATTTGGACTACATCGAGCAATTATTCATGTTGCATCGTCGCTTGTTGTAGTTCATCGGTGCACTTTATACACTGCATTTTACACAAATACCACTCGAAAATGTTCATTATAACCTAAAGATTTATATCGGACGAATTGGGTTTATTAGTTAGCTAGAAAAACCTGTGGTCATTTCGCTGGTCTTTCGAATTATTATCTGTAAAGTACTGCACTGTGTGCCTGTTTGCTAAAACAGATCCCCTATTCGTGAATGAATTGATCTACTGAGCCGGATCTTTTCAATGAATCGTTTGAACCATGTTACTTTTAAATTGTGTTAAAACACTTAAAAACCATGTTACTTTTATATTGTAACATATTTAGATATTTAGTTTAGAGTGCAGGATGATGATGTATCAGTCAATGTGTTATTAATGGAAATAAATAGAACCATTTGCTAATTTAGATGTTATGGAACAAAATGTAAAATTGTTCAAAGGCCATAAAATTGTTATGTTTAAAATTGTTATGTCCCCCCCCCCCCCCCCGTTTACATATATTTACTTGCCTATATTTAAATTAAAGATATGTTATAATAGCAACACTATTGCAAAATAAGATCAATTAACCAAAAAAAAAAATGTGCTGAGATGAGAAAGTTTCAGCCAACAGTAAATTGATTTTATGTAATATAATGTAAATTCGAATTATATTTAGGTTAAATGACTTGGATTTATGCACTGTATCCTGAGTTGAACACATGAAACTAGAATATAAATCTCAAAAGCAATAGAGTGTTGGATCATGTAAAACACTGGGATATCAGGGAACATGTGTTAAGATACTTACGTCATGATGAACAGGAATTGCTAAAGGTGTTCTTTTCTTTTCAAGTTTTCAACAGTAAAATATTAGGGAAATTTTTTTTTAATAGCTTGGGAACTAGTATGCAATATTTTCAAAAACTCTCAATACAACACTCCAAACGGATCACACAGCTAGTATTTCATTCAAAACCTGCTCTTCTGCTTTTATTAGGGTAGTATGTTTCCACACTCAAAACACAAGATTATTGTGACATGTACAGGGACTACAAATGATACTGTAAGCCTTTTAAGAGCAAGTAATAGTGCATTTAGCAATGGCGTTATGTTTACTACTGTGCTGTATATACACAGAAAACAAATTGGTGTATGATTTACTTGTCTTGTAAAACATACTCAAATAATCGTTTATTTACAACTTAGTCTTTACAAAATGGTTTTACAGTATGCCTGAATTGATACTGTAGTTGATCTTTTCAGACTAGGGTGAGTTAGAGTAATTTAGTCTGTGTTTATCACATTGTATAAAAATATGGTCATGACTTTATTTGATTCATCAGTCTCCATCCTTTCAATGGGACCATGCCCACCTCTTTGGCATTTCTTGTACACAAAGTCATTGATTGTTTCCTTTTGCTTGCAATCTTCTTCTCTGTTGCCATTGTAAATCCACAGACACACACAAATATACTTTGAAAGTATATTGCAAACAATTAGATAGTGTAAGAAATAAATTGGCAATACTGTAACAAGTTAATTTTGTTTGGTTTCAAACATGTAATGGTGAAACACAAAATAATCAAACATTTTGAAAAAATAATGATTTAACCATACAGATTGTGTAGATTCAGTGAATAAATTCGTTAAATTGGTTTAATATATTAAATCAGAGCAAATGAAAAGTTGTATTTGCATTATGAAAATTATTGCATGTATATTACCAGGTTTGAATAATCTTGATTCATCTCTTGCACAAAACAGAACCAAACCCAACTTGAAAAAAAAAGAAACGTAATAGCAAAGATTGTCTGTCTCTCAAACCTAATGAGTGCTTAAACAGCATTTGTGGCTATGCAAGTTTTGAGTCAAATGTACACAAACGGTTAGCTGACTTGAAACCCAGCCCAAAATGCTGTCTAGGTAGGCAGCTCACTAGATCATTATGGCACAGTCCTTTTGTGCCTGTGAACAGGAACATGGTGCATCCTGTCAGGAACAGAACTAAGGGAACATGTCATTCAGAGTACAATGATTTGTCAGCATCATTATTCAAGTGAACACGTCCTTTTGGTATGGATAAACACTTGGCACACTAAATATGAAAGATGAACTTGGTTAGAGGTGAAAACCAGAAAATCAGTTTCAATGTTTTGGTTTACATGTTGGCTGTGTTGTGTGGTGACTGGTCATGTGGATGTGCCTTCATATGCAGAAATGAGGGTATTAAATCTTCCAGGATGGATATTTTTGAAAGATAAGATGACATTGCTGTGAGCAAATGTGTTTCATCATAATATTCTCATTTGGGAACTGTCTAGATGCAAAATGGACATGTGTTTATGATTCTTAAAGTTGATGTTATAGAGTTTTGCTGAATATTTGTCTTTATAGTTTAATATAACATTACACATTTAACCTACATAGAGGATTAATCTGAAGTTTATTAATCTTAGGAAAGTTTATTCGGTATCAAAACACAGAAGTGAAAGTTGTATTCATGCCACAGTGAAATATTAATGCCCTTGCTGTTCTGTGTTACCCATATGTTTGCTGTGGGCTTTGTGCTCAGGCTCAGGTATTATATGACTTCACCGCTGAGACTGGCAACAATGAGCTGACTGTTCAAGAAGGTGAAATACTCACGATCACTAACCAGGTGAGAATCAGCACTAATGTTTCAAGATTCACATTTTTTCATATACATTTATATATACTATATATGTTAACTTAAACACAATATATATGTTTAAGTTACTGTAATTTAATTACACTTTTTTTTCTGACTAACTATAATGGATTACAGTTACATTTATTTTGTAATTAAATTACAATACTCTGTTACATGTAACTAGTTACTCCCCAAAACATGATATATAGTATATTATATCAGTATATATCTATAAGCGGCTGTTTAAAAGCTGGCATGAGTACACCCAAAAAATAAGCCCCAATGTATTAATGTGTTGTTTTTTCACAGGAGTTTTCCATGTATTTGCATTGTGCTGTGTTTTAGGATTAAAGGAAATGTCCGTAAACTGATAATGTCTTGTACGTTGTTACAAAAAATACTGTCACGTCTTCCACACAAATATTAAAACCACATCTGTTTGACATATCTCACAACATTACTGTATTTATATATGGTATATTTTCATATGTATTTTTATTTATTTTTTGTAGAATGTAGGCGGTGGCTGGGTAGAAGCTCGGAATTCCAGAGGAAATGTAGGCCTGGTGCCAGAGGACTATATTGAGGTAAAAAAAAAAAAAAAAAACTATTCATGAGCTTTTTTTCTCAATAGATGAAATGAGAAAAGTGGATCCAAATGAGGATCCAAAAAATCATTTTTTGCACTGCCTTCAGGGGAAGTTCAAAATGAAAACGAACTTACTTCTGCTGTCTAGATTTCAGGGAAAATGATTCCGATTATTTAGCATTTTCCTTTTATAGTATCACATCATTGAAATCAAGGTGTACTGTATATGTGTGTTCCTGAGTTGTAGCCTAATTAGAAGATTTAAGATGTAACTGATTAAAGGATTAATTATATTTTTGGCACACTTCTACTCCACATGGAGAATATCCCACTTGTTTTGTGCAGTAGGTCTATCTTTGTACCATAATTCATTGTTACCCAGATACTTATTCCCACCCAGTGTGGCCTTCCTAGATACACAGTCAGCGTGTCTCAAATTTAATGCAATTTGACTGGAAATTTGAGAGTTATATGCACAATCAAAAGCCATGGATATGACAAAAATATACTTATTATATATTATTTCATATATCACTTTTTTTTACATATCAGGCTACTTTGTTATGAATATATTCATGAGTATATAATAATGTTTGCAGATCAACCATGGTTCCACACAAGCATCAGCGACACAGAACATTGATGCTTACAGCCAAGGTTACAACAACAGCTCAGCAAACACTCAGGTACCACATCAACTAAACCATCTGTATTGCTTAAAGGACGCCTATTATGCCCCTTTTTACAAGATGTACTACTGGTCTCGGGTGTCCCCAGAATGTATTTGTGAAGTTTCAGCTATATATATATACCCCACAGTTAATTTATTATAACCATTTGAAAATGTTATTTTTGGGGCCTGTTTTAAAAAGAGCTGTTTTGGTGTATACAACCTTAAATGTAAATGAGCTGCATATCCCCGCCCTGCCTTTGGATGAGGGCGTAACTTGCATACCTATGGCAGTCGGTCTAAGCAGAATTCCTGAGGGTGAGAGATCCGCTGTTTTGAATGTCATTTAGCCCGTACATGTTTGAATCGGAATATATAAATAGTCTCTGATCAGACCCAGATGACGAAGAGACTCGGCAGAATAAACACAAATGAGAATGGACCAGGACGTCTCAGTATGGTTATTTGATACATTTATGTACTTATAGAGTTGTAATCTTGTCCCCTTTGAAATTACGGATGTGCAACACACACACAGACACACACAAACACTTGGCGCAATTTTTTGAAACTACATACACATACTGTGATAAAGTTTGCTACGTACACGCGAAATTATATTTATGCGAGGGACCTGTTGCGTCATATTTACATTAACGTTACTTGTAATACAGGTGCTTCTGTGGCAAATGTGAGAAGATGGCGACAGAACAAGAAAATATATGCAGTTTTAATACAAAATCTTTAAAAATATATATATTTATAAATGTGTGGTTACACACTATACAAACAAGGTTTAAATTATATACACAGACATCCTACGACGACAACAACTTTAGATGCTTTTGTTGTTGAATCGGCTGACATCGACTGAAAATATTTGCTCAAAAATCATAAAATGCTACAAAATGAACAACAGTATCTGCATGTCGTTTTACAGTTCCTCAAACTAAATGTAAAGCAGCACTCACTAAAAATAAGTAGCCACATCCAACAAAACCCACTATTCAAATTAAAGTTTTGCTTCCTCATTTTCACAGCCACTTTTTACTAGAAATCCACAGTCATTTAATGAGAGTGCTGGTGAGAATACTATGCACAAAGGCCCTATGTGTCATCTGCAGTTGAAATCTGTTTCCTGTGGAAGCAGGAGAATTAGAGTAAATGGGTCTCATTATAGCTCGGGACATTAAGCATAAGGACCCGTCTTTCCTCGTCTCTCTGTGTCTTGTTAGGTTGTCAGATGTCCTCACTTTGTGTTGTGCACTGCGTCAGTGTGAATGTAGCAGTGTTTACACACCTGGCAGTCTGCAGATAGATAAAAGTGAAATCTATCTCAGCATTAATATTAGACCAGGTTCACCATCTGTAGAACATTTTGGCAGAATTGCAGCAAGAATAAAATGCTTTTTTACTAGTGAATTATACACTACAAGTTAACATTTTGGACACGGAAACATTTAAGTTTCTGCAAGTGAAGTCCCACCCACTGATTTGTAATAGGCCTGTCGGGTGAGTGGGTCCCACACCCTTGAATAATAATGAGCTAACGTTTGTAGTCTCTACACTTTTCAATGAAATGTGACTTCCCGCTTATTATGACACAAAATTACGATTTTTACGTCATAATAAGCAGGAAGTAAAACACTTAATCCTTATTTCTCCCATCTCAGGGGGAAAAAAATGGAATAAACCATGACCATTCAAAAATATGACTGGGTTTCTAAAGATACAAAGCTTAATGCAAATGGGTGAAGTGTCCCTTTAATCGTGAACAGTCTGTGATTAAATGAAATTTACAATGAATATACAAGGGGCTCTGGTGGTAGATTTTACACATTGGATGTCCATATACTAAATTGATCTCCATGGGATGAAGCTTGTCAAGTGTATCTTGAATACAAGCACCCTTGCATGAAAATTGAGCAAATGGTACAAGTGGAGAAAAGACTATATCTAATGACTTCATGTTTCCATCAACCTTCGATGACTTTAGAGCGATCCACAACACCAAAGTACTAGTAACAATAAACACATCAGTAATGTTGTGCTCAGGGAAAATGGTCTAGATGCTCTTAATTGGTGAGGCCAGGAAGCACGAAAAATGTTTTTTTGTTAGCTGGAGGTTAGTCTTTAGCAGGATCAAGGTCAGGTCTATTGATGGAATTGGCCATTAAATCTTAGACTAATGGACTGTGACAAACTCAAGAGCCTTTAGCCTTTTAGCTCTTAAAGCGCACCCAGGTCTTTTTTTAGTGGATAGATTTGAGAGAACTATATTTTTATAGCTTATATTCAGTTCATTTGTGACCATCAGCCATTTGTCCAAGAAGTTTTCATTTGTGTGATTCGTGGTTTGTAAAATGGCAGTTAGATTCTCATTAATGTTGTTTTACACATAATATTTTGTATTTGTCAATTTTGTTCTATAGCATTTTTGTGTCTACATATTCAGTTTATGTATAGTGCAAAGAAACTTTTGTATTTCTGAGTGTAAAGAATATTTGAAGAGTCCGATTAACTCTTTTCTACTATACTGCAATGGAAAGGTTTCTTAAATGTTAAAAGATTTTCATGAAACCATCAATACCAATAAAGGACCTTTATGTTTAAGAGTGTGCTTTGGTTGCAGGTGACAGGGCCAGCCTGTTTTGTATGTTATTGGTCAGACATGGTGTTACGGAGCAAATGGAGATACACAAGCAAATATTAAGTGTGAATTTGAATATGAGCCAGCTGCATTTTTGATGTGCTTCAAATGGCCAACCCAAGAAGTGTGAATCGCTGTAATCTAAATCTAGTTGTGAGGTTGATGGAGCCTAAAAAGGGATGTTCCTAGTTAACATTTGTGTATTTGAAATTTGAGCAGATACCTTATATGCAAATGGGTCACCCGAGGGATAATTCAAACGCAGGTATTGGACGGGGATTGTGGGAGGAAGGAGCTGAGAGAATCCACTTTAAGCTTTAGGCAACTTCACAACCTACAAAATGCCAAATGAAATATCTTGAGGGTCAGCATGGATTTAGATACGTTTAAAATAATGATTTGATGTTGTCTTTTATTTAGGGGGTTAATGGAAATGAGGCTTGGACTGCCACGACATGGTCCAACAACAACCCTGCCGACAACTGGAACTGCACCGAACAGGAACCAGCAGGCAATAATGGTAAAAGGAAAACATTTACAGTACATTATCTTTATCTTTATGATTATCTGTCTATAACTATCTACAATAGTTATCCTCAAAAGTGTGGGGTCAGTAATTAAGAAATTAATACGTTTATCAGAACTGACTGTAACACCATTTATACATTTATTTTGACCATGATTTTATATAATTACATAAATAAATATAATATATATATATATATTTAAATAAATTATATTTTAGGCTACAGCCGTCCCATGACCCTGCAAAGGTCATTAAAGAATCCTGAAAAAGTTTCACGGTTTACAAAAAAAAAAAAAAAAAAAAAAAAAAAACGTATTAAGGGTCATGTGACACTGAAGACTGGAGTAATGGCCACTGAAAATTCAACTTTGCCATCACAGGAATAAATTATATTATAGAACATTAAAATAGAAAAGAAGAATACAATTATTTTAAATTGTACTGAATTGTTAAGATTTAAGAGACTTATATTTAAAGGCATAAAAAATCGTACTGACCCCAAAACTTTTGAACTGAACGGAACTGGTTGTATCTCAAGTTTAACTTCCTCCTGTGTGAGAGTGTTTTTTTTTTTATTTGGGCACATGTACACTATGTAACAGGTACAGCTCATGGATACTTTTGCTGCTTTACTGTCTACAGCTCTATGTCATGTGGTCTGAAAAAAACATCTGCTTTGTTATGAGGACTTTAAACTTTCTCTAATATATCAAAATCTTTTAACATGCCATAGTTAAAGCCATAAATAAGCTCTAATACAACTGAGGAAGCCAAGTATTGTATGTGGAAGTAACTGGGTAACTTCACTGGTATTTTATAATAATCACAACAGTTTTCTTTGTTGGTGCTTGTTATAGTTGTTCTGAAATAAGCTGAGAGTGATATATTTACATTTGCCCATCCATATGCGTTGCATTATGAATACCGTTGTGAAATATAATTGCACTTCAGCATACTTTTATGCAGTCTTTTTTATTCACCACTACTGTAACAATAACAGCACAGAGAAAAGATATTGTTGGAATCAGCTTTTCCAGCTGATGAACGATAAAAACACTGACAGCCAATCAGAATCCATACCGCTTTTAAGCGTTTTTCAGTTCAGTTGTTGTTCTATTATTGTTTTTCAGTTCAGTTTTTCAGTTTTAGTGTTTTTCAGTTCAGTTGTTGTTCTATTATTGTTTTTCAGTTCAGTTTTTCAGTTTTAGCGTTTTTCAGTTCAGTTGTTGTTCTATTATTGTATATGATGATGCTTTGTTTGCGTCACATAGGTTCTGTCTATTCGTTTGATGAGGAATGGGACGATGATTCTGATGATGGAAAGTCAACAGGCGGTTATGGAGGTTCCCAGACGGAAGAGGGCGGGACGATACAGCGAGGCGGGGGTCACTCTACAATGAAAATAGCACTCAACAAGTAACGTTTTAGTTTTGATAACTGGCAATAATAATATTTCATTAATAAAATGAACTATAATAATGCTAATCTTTTCTCATAGGTTTCCAGGGTTCTCCAAGACTCCAAATCCAGAGCTGTATCTGCTTACCAAGCACATAGCTAAAGGAAATGACACACTGCCAATTTATGTAAGTTATTGGACTTTGTCACGTGATTTGATTCCATGCCTGAAGAGTGTTTAGTTTGAATAACAGAAAAATCAGCCTTGTTAGTTGTATTAACTAGTGATTTCTCTTTACTTATTATATGCCCCCATACACTAGCGTATATGCTAAACAGTTTTTAGAGATAAAACTCTTTACATTCGATTATCATGAAAACAAATCTCAGAGAACGGTCGAATAAGTACCAATGTGTAATTAGACCAAAGGTTCATTTTTGAGTTCTCGTTTAACACATTTATATTTATTTGATTACTGTTTATTTTGCAGGCGGGTGAGGTGGGTCCAGTATGGCTGTATCCACAAATTTCGTTAGATTGTGTAGTGGCTGATCCCAAAAAGGGTTCAAAAATGTATGGCCTGAAGAGCTACATTGAATACCAGGTCACACCTAATGTAAGTTTCTTTGAAACTCCTCTCAGGACTGCTTGAATAATATTGACTTTTTGCTAACGTGTCTTGGATTCTTTTTTTTTTTTTCAGACTACTAACAGACCAGTCAATCACAGATACAAACACTTTGACTGGTTATATGAAAGGCTTGTGGAGAAGTTTGCTTGTGCTCTACCCATCCCATGTTTGCCTGACAAACAAGTTACAGGTGAAATCTCTCAGCTCACTTAAGACCAGCTTCTTGCACATTTTGTTCACTTGCAGTAGGCCCATTCACACCAAGGACGATAACTATAATGATAAAGATATAGTTATAAAACTATACCACAACTATAATGGTAACGATAAAAACATTGACAGGCAAGCTCAAGCAGACGAAGTGCACTCAGAATAAGCAGAACGATATCGTGCATTGGTGTGGTTGCTAATATAGTTATCGTTCTTGTGTGTACGCCTGCACAGGCCTTGTTTTTGGCTGGTAGACTCTCTAGCATCTGTCTTCCATTCCTCTTTAGGCCGATTTGAAGAGGAATTTATCAAAGTTCGCATGGAACGCCTGCAGGGTTGGATGTCCCGCATGTGCCGACATCCGGTGATCTCAAACAGTGAAGTTTTCCAGCTCTTCCTTAACTACAAAGATGAGAAGGTGCATTTGCTTAAATATTTGTAAAGTAATAGACATCGAGTTGTATATACTGATATACATGTATATAGTCAAATAATGTATACAAACAGTTAATGAATATTCTGTTGAGTATTGACATGTGTTTGCTGATATTGAGATCACATACTGTAGAAGTGTTTTACAGTGTTATATATTAACTTTGGTTAGTGAATAGGTAAGTTCCGCAGTGTTGTAAGGCGTGTTTTATTTGTTGTTTCTATTAGGAGTGGAAACTAGGGAAGCGGAAAGCAGAGAAAGATGAAACGGTGGGAGTGAAAGTCTTTTCCACCATTGATCCAGAACTGCTAGAGCTAGATCCTACTCAAGTGTGAGGCAATATTTTTTTCCCAAAATTAATACAGTTTTTAATTTATAATGTTGAATTATAAAAAAAAAAAATCATCAAATATTAACCCATTTAATTCTATCAGAAAATGTATTCAATTAATATTTGATTCAAAATGTTAATTAAGTTATATAAAAATACCAATTATTATTTCTACAAGTATAAAATTAATTATGATTTATAGTTATTGTAAATGAATAAGAATTATAATTATTAAAGAATATAATTATTATATGAAATCTATACTAACATTCAGATTTTGCATTCATTAGATTTTTCTTCTTGGAAGAAATTGATACTTTTGTTAAGGATGCATTACATTGATTAAAAGTAACAGTAAAGACTTTGTTACCAAAATGTTATATTTCAAATAAATAAGTTTAAAACTTTCTATTCATCAAAGAATCCTGAAAAGAAAAATCTATCAGTTTTCAAAAAAATATTAAGCAACACAACTGTTTTCAACGTTGACAGTAAGAAATGTTTTTTGAGCAGCAAATCAGCATATTAGAATGGTTTCGGAAGGATCATGTGACACTGAAAATTCAGATTTTATAATTTCTTGTAATTTCATATATTTATTTCATAAACAATGGTCTTGATGTGATTTGTAGGGAGCAGAAGTTTGAAACGTACAGCCAGTTTAGTAGATCTATGGACAACAGTGTTAAGGAACTACTGGCTGTTGGGAATCTTCACTGGAAGAGATGTACAGGCCGTGAGTTCACGTACTATACTGTCAAAAAAGATATGTTCATTATATAAAAAGATATGTTCATTATGTTACTATTTTGTGATTTGTCCTTTTCCTGCTCCTGAAATTCTGCTTTTAAACCAACAGCATTGCAGAAGGAGTATCGACAGATTGGAAAAGCATTTCAGAACCTGTCATCAGTTTTCAACACCAGTGGATACCCGCGTAAGAAACTACAGCTTTGTTTATTAAAATGCTTTATCATGTTCACCGTTGAAATATGAATACTTAATGATTACCTAATCATGGGGTTTTCTTGTGCCTTATTTTCAGGGGAATCAACTTTGACAGAGGCATTAACTGCAACAGGGAAAACATATGAAGAAATAGCAGAAATGGTTGCAGCACAGGTATCAGAAGTACATTTCCTCAATATAAATACTTTCAAAAACTCTTCAGTCCTTGAACCTCTGCCAGTGCCGGTCACTCATTATTAGCACGTCCCCTTACATCCTCTGCTGCTATTTCCACAGTTTGATAGAATTGTAACCATCAAGGTTACCCAATGATAACAACATCCGTGATTTCTGTTTTTAGTTTTATCCATGAGTTTAAGCCATTGTTTACGGATTCAATAATGATAACATTTGTTTATCAGCCAAAAAAAGATCTACACTTCCTGTTGGAAACAAACAACGAATATAAGGGACTACTGGGCTGCTTTCCTGACACAATAGGAGTTCACAAGGTAAACCTTTCACCTTTTGCTTAAGCTAACGGGGAACGTTCTTGGAACTTTGGCTAACGCAACATTCTCTCTAAGTTATAAACAAACATTCTTCCGGTAACATTAATAGACTGTTCATTCAAAGTTGTCTGGTCTGGTCAAAATGTTATAGCACAAAAACGTTAGTTATACATCATACATGGATTTTTTTTCTGAAATGTTTTTGTTGGACATTCATCTAATGTTTTTAGATGTTACTACTTGTTTCAGAAAGTTCAGAGAACATTAAGTAACGTTCCCATAATGTTTGCAAAATTATAAAATGTTATGTTCCCTTAACAGCCTAATAACCAAGAAAAAAAGTTTTTAAAACATAAAAACCTGGACGTTTTGAACGTCTGGGTACATTTGGAAACTACATTTTTCATAACTTAACAGAAATTGCAAAACATCCTTTTTTATTTTCTGAATTTATGAATCTGTGTTCAATAATGTCATAAAATGTTTAAGATAATGTACATTTGGTTTTAAAAAGCATGTTTCTTTTACATCCGGTAATAAACTAAGTTTAATGATTAATTAAGAGAGTAAAGACTTTTTAAAATGACAATTTTTTTTTATTTAAAAATATATGTTTTCCGTATTTAGTTTTTCATCATTAATGAATTATATTTCAATAATTCATTTATTATCATTTGTTTTACTGTGCATATTTTCAATCAAATTTTCATGTTGATATAGTTTGTAATGGAAAGTAGTATAAATATTCAGTATTTTTAATAGTGGTCACTGCTTGTTATTTAAATGAGTTTTTCAATTATTCCCCCTCAGGCTGCCATTGATAAAGTGAAAGAGGCTGATCATTTGGTGACAATGAATAAAATCAGCCAACAAGATAAACAAACAATGGAAAAGAATCTCAGCACCATGTCGTATGCATTGCAAGGTACGTTAGTAAAGTGTATCTAAGACCTTTTGTCACAGTGGTCCTTTAAATGTGAACCTTTGTCCATAATTGTAATCACACACGTAATCTTAGACTTGCCATCTGTGTCTTTAGCGGAGATGAATCACTTCCATAGCAACCGTATCTATGACTACAACAGACTCATGCAATTCTACCTGGAGGAACAGGTGAAATTCTATGAAACGGTGAGTGGAGGCGGGATTCTAGTTTGTATGGACACCATATACACGATGAATGTAAAGCAGTATATTAAACAGTAAATGTAACGTTCTGCTTTGTTCTCGTTGGATAGATTGCTGAAAAGCTGAAGAAAGCGCTCGGTCAGTATACCACCATGTGAGGACGCACTCTATAAACAGAAATACTCATCAAACTGTGGAACATCAAGAAAAGATGCTGCTTTTGCTTTTTTTCATGCTAGTTCACAATGAACCATGTTTTTACGGAGCCCCTAAAGGGAGGAAGAATTATGTGATTGCTTTTGCGTTCCCCGAGAAACTTTGCGAAACTCGGTCTAAATGTTTTGCGAGTCAACGCAAAATTTCTCGGGGGAATGTAAATCTTTTGCAAGCAAATGCAATGTTTCTTGCATATATTTACCATCATGATGTCTCTTTATGGGCTCAGAATGTTTCTACCTAACAACATTAATTGTGTATTACTGCTTTGTGACATAGAAAAAAACTAGGTTATAAGGGAACAAACAATGCACATTAAATAATGTTATTCATTAACCAAATATTTTGTCCACAAGAACAAGAGTAATTCAAATCTTAACTGTAAGCTAATGTAACACTCCCTAACATTAAGATTTTTTATTTTCTCTGTGTACAATGAGGTCTCTCAGGGATGAATACACTCAGACTGGGCCTTAAACCAAAATGGGGTTTGTTAACGTCTTAATTAAATTCTCTGGCATTATATTGTTTTCTTGTAGTATGTGAAATTACATATGTCAGAGATTTAAAAGTGGCATGTATTGGATAATAGCAATAAGGACATTGTCTTTTACCTGTGGTAAAATGTTCTATGGAAAACAAAACAAAACTAAAATGTCTCTATATCACACTCGGTGTATATGTGTTTTTAACTAGCCCTATAGTGTGTAATAAATCTTTCTTTATACCTTTCCAAGTCTGCGGGGAGAGTTGTAATGATCGGCATTGATCTGCATTTTTGGCCTAGTATCAAAATAGATTTTTTTAGTTCAACATTCAACAATATCATTTTGGAGAAGATAGTAGATCCAGTATTTATGCTAGCTCGAAGTCAGTTTTTTCCTCTTCTAAAGAGGAAACTAAATCATTGACCTTAGAAAGGAAAAGGAGGAAATGAGCATGATGACCTCAGCATGTGTTTGAATTTCTAGAATAAGTGACCTCGCGCAAGGAAACACTGGCCGCATCTAAAATTGCATACTTCCCGATTAAATAGCGGGTGAAAATATTAGTACAGTATGTCCAAATTCACTGCATTCATTACGGAGTAGTCAAACACTACCCGGATGACCAACTACTTCCAGCGAGATGCTGAAGTATGCATACAATGGACACTTTACTATCGCATGAGGCCACGGAGAGGAGCTGTGAATGGCAGTGAAGTGACGTAACTGACACTGGTAGGTCAAATGATAATGACAACATGGTGAATGTAGTACTGTACATCCAGATTACATTCATACTATATAGAACATAATTTTTTCAGTCGCAAAGTAATTACAGTACATACCTACTCGAGAGTATACGATTTTCGGACAAAGCCACTATTTCTCTTCCAAATCTGTTTCCTTACTTTAAATTAAACAAGGGATGGCATAAATTTTGACATTATTTTCATTTTTGACCATAAGGTGTCTCTTAGTTTTGTCTCTCTTCTGAGACTTTAGGAAACAAAATACTATGCAAACATTTGTCAAAGTATGCGATGCCCCTCAAACCCTCTTGCCATGTTCATAGGCTGATCTGTTCCACCCTTCCTGTTAGTGTGTGATAGGCAGAAAGAGTCTTTATGGATGGTGCAGATATGTTTATCTCATGGCAAAGTCTGAAGAACACAGAAAGTCAGCTGTATATAATAAAGCAATATATTTGTCAAAAACTAAGACATTTTTTATACATTCTCAAAGAAGTTATAAAATGTAAACAATGTTGTGAAATATACATTTAGGCATGAAAAGAATGTACATTTTGGGATTATTTGAACACCTGTTACCTCTACATTACACAGAGTTATTGAGGCTTAAACAGCAAACATATTTACATGTGCCATGTGTGATATGATATCTATTAATAGAGCTTTCTCAAATGTTCTCTTAAACCTCTGGGGCTGGTTGCGACAAAACCTCGACAGTAATCGACAGTACCCTTGCGATTATTAAACATAATGTTTTTAATCTTTTTTTATTACTAAGTTTTTTTTTTTCTTTTATTATGACGATTGAATTTTTTTACATTGCAAAAAATGAGATGAATTAAGGGGTTTGTTTCAACTGGGCCCTAGTGTCTTAAAAACGATTTCCTCCGAATATTTCTATGCAACAAAGTAAATGTACAGTAACACCCATTAAAATGTGAAAAGTGTACCAATTGTATATTAATCTCTGAATTATTTCAAATGAATGATTATCCAAATACATTTTTTGTGCAAGTTAAAAAATTATTGATGATAATCAAATACATATTGTTTTAAGATTATCAGAAATGATAAAGTTGGGATTTTCCATTTAACCACAGTTTACAAACAGAGAACCAATGATGTCACAACAGTGTTGTTTAATGCAGGCCTAAAGCGGTGTTATGGAGAGAGGCGGGGCTTGAATATCCGTGGGCGGATCATCATGCTCACCTTCTTCAAGGAGTAGTAATCTGAGTCCTTCCATGAGTACCACACAATCCCATCAGGCCCCAGAAGATTCTTCCCTTTGGCAGAGTAACGCCCCCCCTGGTGGTCAAGACAAACACAGGACACAGTTAAGATGGTTGGGCTCATATTTCACATCTTGGAATGATTTCCTTTTTTCCTTTATTCATATACAACCTTATAATACACTCCATTGAGGTTGGCAAAGAAGCACTGGTGGTACCACCAGCCTCCGTGAGATATCTCGGCACAGATGTCACCTGTGTCTGGAGTGCTGAAGCTTTGCTTGTCATGGTACCAAGCGAACGAGTCCTCGACTGTACCACTGAATCCTGACACGTGGAGACGATAGTGGTTGTCCTCGTTCTCAATCCTGCCAAAGAAAGCAAGCTATTTTAGAGTTGTTTACAGAAATGCATCTTATTGTCAGACCTTATTTTCTTGTAAGAACACTTAAGAAAAAAGTGCAAGACCTGCACAAATCTATATTTTATTTTTTATAAATAACATTTAATTTTTTAATAGCTGATCTTTTAAATATTTAATATGATGTAATATTACTATTGTGTTTTAAAATTATTTCAAATATTTTATTACATATCATTAATATTATTATAATATGGAAGCTTGTTTCCGCCACATAATTGAAAATAAAACAGTAACTTAAATTGCGAGATTATATCTCATAAATCAAAAAAGAAAAAAAAGGTCAGAATTGCAAGATACAAACTCTGAATAGCAAGAAATAAAGTAATATACACAAATATATATATATAATATTATAAATTATGAGATATTAACCTGGAATTGATAGGGAAGCAAGTCAGAATTGTGAGATATAAACTTACAACAGCGAAAATTTTAAGACAATAAATCGCAATTACCACAGTTCTGAGAAAAAACTTGGAATTTCTGATTATAAAGTCTGAATTGTTAGATATAAACTTGCAATTGCAATTTTTTAAGCTTCCATATTATTATTATTAATCGTAATTTGTTTCTCACTTAAATCTATTAATACTATTTAATACAGTATATTTCAAATATTTTATCAACTGAAATCAAAAAGTAAGTGTTCTTAGTTGAAATATTCAGACCATCTTTCCAAATGTTTACCAGAAGTTCTGGTACAGTGCGTGTTTGTGCTTGCCATTCCAGTCCTCGAGTTCAATGCGAAGGGAATATTCTCCCTGGCTGGAGATGTCATGGATGTGGTCATTTCCCAGCCAGAATTCTGCGTGCAGATCTCCGAAGCCATCCCTGTATTCTGTCCATTTGCGGTTAAAATTGACCTTTCCATCCTGCCGACGTTGAAACATGGTCCATCCACCTCCTGGTCCAAAGAATGATTCTTTAATCTCAAATAACAGTCTCTAAATGCTCATAATTTATTCGAAAAATGCAAACCTTGAGTCTCCATATCACAATAAACGTCGACTGGAGTTGATCCCAATGAGGGGACAACAGTAAAAATCCCAGACCGGTGGACTCCATTGTAGTACAGTGATGCACAGTCAATTGGACAGTTTCTTACATGCTGAACCTCTGAGGAAACAAATACTAAATCAAATCAAGCTATCGTTACAAATATTTCAGCACTGAGTTCTGAGATGCCAGTGACTTAAAATATAGCATAGTTTTTAACTTTCAATGACTTTCCCCAAAAGTTACTTCCCTGTAAGCTCTTCAGTACCTATATTGCTGACCTGGGTGAAGGGTATCTTGGGCGCTGAGAAGCGGGCTTGTGCGGATGATATTGATCATACAACCAGGATTGCGCCTCACACGCTCTACTATCATAGTGAGATTGCGAATCTGTCTTTGCATGTCATAGATGAGTGATCCGTGGATGTGCAGCAGAGCATTGGCCTCTTCATAGATCTGCTGCAGCGTGTGAAAGCGGTGCTCTAAAGACGAGTTTATTCCATACTTCTCCTCGCTCTGCCGGCACAGAGAAATAGCATTCAGCAATTCAAAGCACAAAGTTCAAATGGGAAAACTAACACAGATACAGTGTAAGATTAATCTGGTGATATTGTTTATTTAGCGATTTGAAAGTTGTGTGAAAATGATCAAAATGATGCCACTGACTCCCAATATGACTGGCGGGGAAAGAGTTAATTTAGTGCCTTTTGTGAAGAAAGCAAATCTCTGAATGATTTGATTGACTTGTTAGCTCAGTACAAAGTAAATGGGAAAACACCCTTTTTGAGTCAATGACCTGAGAAACATCCAAATGTTCTTTGATGGTCTAATTGAAATTGTAAAAAGTGAAATGTAATAATTTAGCTTGCAAGAGTAATAGCACAAGCATTTCGTTGTGTAAAAGACCCAAATTAGCCAAAATCGCCTCTTTATTTGAAATGTATTTTAAAATTGTCAACCTGGGAATGATGAAAGGAAATAGGCCATTTTCTCTTCAAGGCCGTACAAACTTCTGTTATTGCAATGCAATGTATAGCTGTTTTAATTCAATTTATACCAACAAGAAACTACATTGTTTGGTGTTGCTTACAATAATAAGAAACATAAATTCATATAGGCAACAATTAACTTCTTGCACATATTTCAAGAATGAAAAGTTGTACAAGAATGAAAAGCATTGTTGGCAATGTGCTCACTACAGATCGTGTGTCTATTGGACAGGTTCCAGCACTAATCCTGTAATTGATCAGGGTTAAGAAGGCATTAGTACAGAAACAGTGCACTACCAAAACATTTGTCTCTGCACAATACGGAGGTGTAGCGAAGCTGCTAATATGTAACGTGTGATACACTTTGTTTAGCAAATAAACAATGAAAAAGAATCTCAATTTGCAATAATCCCAGGTTGCTATGGACACAGGTTTGCTTATGCATAAACTCATGGCCATGAGAAAAGGATGTCGTTCCCTCAACATAGGACCCCACCCGGCAAATTACGTCTTCCATTTCACTGCTCACTTTTCCATTGTCTTTCTATGTTTTCGCATTCTAGATGGACGTGTTTGACCGATGCGCTTCCATCTCGCGTCTCTTGAGTCTCACGCATTACACGCCGTTCTAACACGGAAGAGCTAGAATGCGAATACATAGAAAGACAATGGAAAAGTGAGCAGTGAAATGGAAAAATGCGTTCTAAGCATAGGCGTAATTTGCGGCTTGGACGGGTGCGACATGTCCCCACCACTTTTTGCATCTCGCGGCATGGATGTAACTAATACAAATAAATAAATCTCTAGTTAACTAGTAGAGCATTAATTTCGTTCGTTTGTTAAAGAGACGATCTAGCCCTGAAATGTGTTGTTTTTGAAATCAAGTGATCAAAGTTTTCGTTGACTGCGATCAGTGGCGCGGATACAAGTGTTCTCTTGTGGCCATACACAGTCTTCGTGCTTTAATCCATCGCGGAGACTCTCTATTCGTTCCGGTGAAATCACAAAGTAAAATGCACACAAACGTGTTCCTGCTTGATATACAACCACTGATAAACATAATCGGGTTTTAATGAGAAAAAAAATAATGGTCTGCCACTGGACCATTAAAGTACATGCGTTTAAATGTCGGATCTGTGTGTAAACGACAAATTAAACACAATATAAATCGATTGCTGGACATCGGTATATTATAAAATCATTACAAAATGTAATAAACAGCAATATGTGCCAATATTGCTTTGGGTGTCATGACGTCCAAGAATCGAGAACTGTTTCTCAGAAATGACCTTCAACTTTTAAAATAGGATGTCATGAGAAATATGTGATGGAATGAGAAAGGTACTCATAGAAACACACTTTCCTTGCTAAAAGCTTGTAGCTCTTACCTGCAATTCCAGCACTTTGATACGATGCCTGTGACTCCTCAGCTCCTCTTGAAGCTCTGAGATGGTCTCTTTCAGGTCCTGCATCTGCTGCTTGCGTTCTTCATTCTCACGCAGCCAGTAGGAGACCTCATCTGTACAGCGGAACATGTCGGGACACCGCTGTTCCTCCAACTGAGGTAATGTGGCTGTTAAACGACACTGTCCATTTGGCATCACTTCATTGCTGTATTCACCACACTGCATTAGGCCACTGCTAACTTGATGTGTGTTAGTCTGAGAAGTGTCTGTTTTAGGAAGGTCTGTGGATTTAGATTCTTCAACAGCATCTTTGGATTTGACAACAAGAAATTGGGCCCATGCTGCCCAGAGAAACAAAGAATACAGCAGAGACAACCTCATTCTGCAAAAGACTGAAGTTCTCCAGAGAAGTAAGGACTAGGGAGTGAAATCAGACCCGGAAACCTGTTAGGGTTCTCAGACTGGTAAAGCTTATTTCCTCATGGTTTAATGATGCCACTAGACCTCTCAGGAGAAGATGGGAAGTAATTGAGATCCTAAACAGATACCCACCCAGCATTCTGCAAAAAGAAATAATAGAATCAATGGGTAAATTGTGACACTCATAAAAAATATATAAAAATGCAATTCATAATTTTTTTGAATAGACAATATCATTTCTTTGAATATGCTTTCAAATGACTCAGTGACTGGGAGGGGATGTTCTGTTCACTGTTCTGTAGCAGTGAATGGACCGATTTAAAAGACTGAGATGTAGGCCTATATAATAAAAAAAACATTAAATAATAATAAATAAAAAAAAACGTTCAGTAAATGGATTTAAATGACGGGATATGGACGTGGATGGATAAATGTACACTGCATATTATGTTAACATTTATTGATGACAAACTTCATTTGAGTGGTACTATAAGCAGTGGCACCATAATGTACAATATAATAGGCAATATGTTAATATAATCATTTCTTAATTCCGCGCTTTTTTTATTAAATAGAGATATTATGTAAAATATTCAAACTGAACCGAAAAAGCACAATACACCATACCTCCCATGGTACGTGTTTATTGCACAACTCTCATGGCATACCAAACGCTGCCCTGGCCAGTTGAGGTTGACCTCACTTTACCTTGTCATAAAGCTAATTTTTCCTCCTTGACATTTGATTAAATAGTAGCCTAATAAGGGGTGTAACAGTCTTTGTGTAGGCTACAAGCCGAATACAGTGTTGTAGCGTAACCATCATTAACCAGCAGCACCATTAATCGCAATAAGCTCAGTGTTTTGGTAAGATAAAAAAGTGTCATTTTTCAAATTATACCCATTTTATCACGAAATTCAAACAATAAATGCCGTTTTGACGCTCTTTAGTGTGGCGTGACAGATCATAAGACGCCTCAATTTAAGCAATAGCTCAGCAAACACATTAACACATTTATGTTGTCTACGTGCTGGCATCATTGTAACAAGTAGAATTGTAGAAACGTTGTTGCGCCACATTCAGCAACTGAGAGACGTAATACCTATCCCCAATTTAGCATTTTATGTTGTGGTTAATTTTAATTAGTCATATGTTGCATATATATGCACTTCAAAAAGTCAAACATTTGTAACGTTTAACTAGCCTACGCTGCCTGTTCAAGGAGTGCTGAAATCAATTAGCCTACTCAGTCATGACTTTTGGCATAAAGTAAAAAATGTGTCATACAACCTGACCAGAAGATGTTCAAATAAATGTCACATTAGACAAGGAAGTTACTTGTAGGTTGTGTTTGTATAATTCCATACGCACTGCATAGGCTACGTACTGCACACGTGTCCGCTGGCTGCGCTGAGACCACGCCCACTCGCGGGAAAGCTCTGTCGACGGTGATGTCAGGTGATACTACTCTCGGGACGGGAGGATGATGACCGAGGCGGGAGATAGTCGGTACGGCCCCATTTACCAGTAACAGCGGATTACAGTTGTCTCTGACGGAAGTTTATAAAACTATCCCGTGTAAAATGATCACAACAGAGGCGGGTGTTGGCGGTGTTCCTCAGCTCTCCATCAAGGTTGGCTCTTCACAAAATTAATCCACCTCTTATTAATGCGATCCTTTTTAGGAAATTTAAATAAAGACACTGATCTGTTTTGTACATGATCGCATCCAGGTAGTAGTCTACGCATTTCCGTGTTAAAGGCATAGCTAGCTAGCTAGCAAACTGTAGTAATAGTAAGTAACTCGTGATTGAGAGCCAAACTGATGCAATGTGCTCTATTTCCAGGGGAGGGGCCAGCCTCAGTGGCCTCAGTGCGTCATCAAGTAGGGGCGTGTCCCGGAGCTCAGGGGCTAGGTTGTAGTTGTGGCGCAATTAATAATAATTATAATTAATAATAGTTATAATTTTGATGATTATGGCTTACAGCTTATGAAAACCTTTTCACAATATTCTAATTTTGAATTAGGGGGTTCCATAAACTGTAACCCATAATCATCAAAATTATAACAAATAAAGGCTTGAAATATCTCACTTTACATGTAACGAGTCTATATAATACATTAGTTCCTCCTTTTAAGTTGAATTACTGAAATAAATTAACTTTTGCATGATATTCTAATTTTTCGAGTTTCACATATAGTCCGTTCACTTAATAATGAAATGTCAGTGATTCTACATCATGTCCAATAATGGTATTGGGCCTAGTGTGTACAGTTGTGTAGCGCAACAGTCTTTAAGAACTGGTTTAACTATAATATTAACATAATTTATGTTCTGTTGTTTCAAAATTCCTTATTTAAGTCATGTGGTGCAGATTTTGATTTAGATTATCTAATGCCTATCTCCATATTTATTGACTCATATTGTCAACCAAGTCTTAATTCATCAAGCATTTCATCAAAGTTCATTGAAAGATCATTAGATGTACAACATGTCCTTCAACATTAAATGTCACTGAGTGAGAACAGATGCAACTTTACAGATGCACACATTGTTCATGAGCATAATGCATCCTGAAATTTCAAAGGCTAAAATAGAATGGCAGCAAATGAAAAATAATCAAGTCAACAAATGAGATAAGGAAAGTTACCTTTCGCCGGACAGGCAAATCTCCTTGTAATTAGGAACGTGGCAAGAAAGTATATGTCCCTTTCTCTCACTCACTGTTAGGAAATGCTGTGCTGTGAACAGTGTTACAATGGCTGACAGACATCTTATCCTCTAAATCTTCTCTAATAGGATTACATTCACTGTGTGGTGTGGGTGAATATACAGCCTGTAAAATATATGCTTGGCAATTTTACATATTGTTAGATTTACCTGGATATTTAAATATCTATCTAAATATCTATTCTAAAAATGTCTACAACTGTGATTTTATCATTGGCATGACACAATTTTTTTTACACTATTTATTATGTTTATGTTTGTTATTAGCAATAATTAACATTTAACTGGAACAAAAACACATTTAATTTAACACTTGATTTATTTTATTTAAAAATACAGGAGCAAAGCTTGCACACACTTTTTAGAATCTGGAACCTCTTTTTCCCAATGTTTCATTTCTAAGATCTTACCCAAGATAATTTATTTTCTTGTATTTATTAATATAATAAATATAACAAAAAATAACAAATACAAGATTTAAATATAACAATATATACACTGAAATTATAAACTGTAATTTGTTTAAAAATGTGATTAATTATTTTATTTTATTATTATTATTATTATTTTTTGCTTAAATTACTTACATTTTTATTCTCCCTGGAATAGTTCCTGTCTATACCACTGAAAATACATGTTCAGCATGCCTTATTTTCAAAGTCATTGTTTTATAACTGTGTATTATTAATAATTCGGATGGTAATGCATTTTTATAGTATCATTATAATCATATTATTTTTATTTAATATTTTCTGCGTATACATTTGTTTTTTATCTCCCTGAAGAGTTTGGCCCATGCATATTTACTGTAATTTTTGCCATAAATACAGCAATATATATAATACCATGATTTTATGTTTTGCATTTGTCTGCTCAACCTAATCCGCTACTGGCATTCAGTCATATCAAAACATGTTAATGGTGAAATTATGAGCCTTTCCTCTGCTTGTACGCAAATGGTGACACCCAGATGGCTTCCTCCTTCAAATCCCTCACCTTCCAATTAATTTCAACACAAGATTAGCACCTGTGTGTCCTTACACACCAAAAAACACATGCCGTATAATTGATTTGAAGTGCATTTTAACCTTTAATCACCAAAGTCATGTAAACTGACACGTATGCCCTTAAACCTAAGGATAAGACCGTAATGATTTGATAAGCCAGACATCAGAATGAAGGTATCGTCCTAATCCTGCACTCATTCACAACTGACTTCTAACTGCTGATTGACAATCTTTGATGGATTACTCATCTGTACCGTGGATGATGCGCCGGGGTTTCCAACCTGCACCACCCATTAAAAGTGACAGAGTTTGGTGTCCTTGAGGAATTGACGCACAGATAGCTTATAAAAGACAACTAGCCTAGACGAGGATTTCAGACATCAGAGACAAGCAACCAGACAGATCAGAGAATCTCTAGAGAGAAGAACTTTGGTTCGGCGGACTTCTTTCTGCACAACAGGTTGGTAAAAAATTCATGCAGTGAGGTTCGGTTCACTTTTGATTAGTTTGGTTTTTGCACTTTTGATAATTCATGATCTCACAGACATCCATTGTGTTCATAATGGCCTTTTAATTTGGGTGTGCAATGAAATAATCCTTTCGTTCGTATTTTATTGTGAGTACTGCCATCTTATTGATATTGTGTTCTATCATCAGACATGGTGAGGATGTTGTGTCCTGCTTGGCTCTTGGCTCTGGCTGTACTGTGTGCGGGTGGCTGTGAAGTTAGAGCTCAGTGTTGGGAAAACACTCGATGCCGAGACCTCAACACTGAGGAGAGCATCTTGGTGAGTTACAATATTCCTTGCACAGTTCAGTTCACCAATTCAAATTGTGGCAAATATTACCATTGCTAAAACTTAGGATTAGGAATTTAATCAGATCACAACTCAAACGTTAACTATATTATTGATTGATCAGGCTAATGATTTTTACCTAGCAAAATACTCCAAACACACTAGATAGGTACTATACATTTACTTTATATTGACCATTTTACAAATAATGGGAACACCAAATAACACTAATGTTCTGTGTATTATTTCCAGCGATAGTGTGTACCCTATTTTTAATGGCCCCGTCATTATTAAAATGCCCATGTAAATTTAAATACATTTAAACTCTCAGTTTTAGTTCCTGTCTCTGTAAAGCCCACCTTACCGAAAGGCTAGTCTGCTCTGATTGGTCAACCAGCAGCTGTAAATAGTATTAATGTACATTCACACCTTACGAGATTCCAACTTGTAAAAAACGTTCACATCCTCATAGAACTCGTAATTACAACTTGTAAACTGGGAATTTTTGGAGAGCTCCTACTTGTACCACCTAACCTCTGGAGATTTATTTGGCCATTGATAGTATTGCCATAGAAAGCATAATTCCCAGTCCGAGGATGTGAACAGCTTTGAGTACATCATGTATTGCTATATCGTAATTACGACATGGTGTGAATGCATCATTATATCTACGGTATGTTGACATTGGTAAAAAGAAAGAAAAATAAAAGCATAATAGGTGGCATTTAAATAGCTTCTCTGATTGGTCTTTTTGTATTTTAGATTTGCTGAAAAGGGCATGTTGTAATAAAATAAAATAAAATTGGTTTCAAAACATCATTTTTCTTTGGAAAATGTCAAATTTATGATTTTTATTTTTTAAATGTAAACTTCTTTTGCTCTTTCTAAGAAATGCATACAACTATGCAAGTCTGATCTGACAGATGAAACCCCCGTCTACCCCGGAGAAAGCCATTTGCAGCCTCCCGAGCTGGAGCAAAACGAGGTCCTCGAAGCCCTGTCCCCAGTCGTCCCCGCACCTGAGCAAATGGACCCAGAGCCCAGCCCTCGGCACGAGCACAAGCGCTCTTACTCCATGGAGCATTTCCGCTGGGGGAAGCCGGTGGGTCGCAAGCGCCGGCCCATCAAGGTCTACACGAACGGCGTGGAGGAGGAATCCGCTGAGACTCTCCCGGCTGAGATGAGGCGCGAGCTGGCAACCAACGAGGTCGACTATCCACAGGAGGAGAACGCTTTAAATCAGCAGGAGAAGAAGGACGGCTCCTACAAAATGAGCCATTTCCGCTGGAACGGCCCGCCTGCTAGCAAACGCTACGGAGGCTTCATGAAGTCCTGGGATGAGCGCAGCCAGAAACCCCTTCTCACACTCTTCAAAAACGTCATAAACAAAGAGCACCAGAGTAAGGACCAGTGAGGGGATTTTAATGAGAGGGTCTTATCATGCATAGTCAAACAAAAGAGGGTGGGTGATGTTACCGATAGCACTTAATTCTTGATGCTTTAGAGTTTATTCACATTGTATTCAACAATAAATCCTGAATTCTGTACATAGAAATGCTGTGGTGATTAAATACTGGTTTAGAAGCTAAAGGAACAGCAATTTTAGATTATTTATTTTTAATGTAATATACTGTAAATTTTGAACATGTGCCATAAAATGATTGTTTCAAGCAGAAAAGAACAAAATGGTTCATTTCTGAGAAACAAACACACACCCAAATCATTCAGCAGGATGTGCAGTTGCCAATAAAGCTATAAACACAGGTCAGACTTTGAATTCATAAAATTAGTCTTTAATTAATATTCTTATTATTCACACCACATATGTACATCACTTAATGATTCCATGTAGGCAAACATTCACAGAACACAGTTCTGAAGTCATATCCGTTTGCAGTGATAGTATCTAAACACAGGTTGACTAATTACGATCCACAGTGTTGTAATGATCTCACTGATTAAAAATTGAAGTTAAAAAAAGGTAAAAGCACAGACAAAACACCCAGTGCATGCAGCAGCTGACAAGTAAAGACTTAACTTTGATATTTGATTTCGATTTCATGCAAAATCACCTCACATGTAAGCAGTCTAGAACATTCCATCGGTTGAACATCATAGCCATATTGACAGAAGATAAAAACCACTAGTTGTGGTTGTGGTAAATAAATTCAAGGCATTACCAAAAGAAAATATTATAACAATACATCAACCTAAAAATGACTGCAAAAACTAAAAAAAAAAAAAACTTATTTTACGACAAGAAAACATGGTAAAATTTCTAAGTGGAACCGGAACAATATGACATGACTACACATAACACCATCCAATTTTAGACAAGAACACGTCAAGATGAAATTTCGCACAAGAAGTATATTCGGCATACACCACATTTACACAGTGAGCTTTTAAAGTGCTGCGATTAAATCTGGGAGAACAAAATCTTGACATACGTAACCCCCTCGGTTCTACTAAAAAGCTTCATTCACTAGTGCGCCTCTTGAGACCAGGGGAGTGAGGTTTACTCGCACAGCTCTTACAGTCCCACCCAGGTCACAGCACCAGTGTAACTACTCGCACCGCTCTGAGCGGGATTCAAACCAGCATGGGTAGTGGGCGTACTAGCAAGGATGCTAAAGACCGCAGCCTCCAGCGTCAGTCGCTAGTGCGCCTCTTGAGGCCAGGGGTGTGAGTTTTACTCTAACTGCTCTTACTAGCTGGCTTCCGTTACACATAAACCTGAAATTATTCATTTTTGCAAACAAAAAGGAAACACTGTACAAGCGACAAATGACACGCATATCATGGCAAAAAAGGGAGAAAACTGATCCCTTTAGATGGGATTTTGTGAAATTTTGCGAAAAAAAAGTTAGCGAAACTTCAGCAAATTTTGTGAGCAAAGTAGGTCCATTGTCAATCCTGAACTGTATGTAGTGATGTTTGAAGAGCCACTGGAAGTGTCACTTCCAAACCAAATGGCTTTACTTTGGTAAACCCGGCGAATTTGTGTTAAATGGTCGACAAACTTGAATTAGTGTAATCCGTATGTTTATGTCACATGTCCTGTTGACATGACTGCATTTCACTTCATAAAGTTAAATGGGTCTGCACCCTTGGACCGGTTTCACAGACAGGGCTTAGATTGAGCCAGGATTAGGCCTTAGATAAATTAAGACATAAGTAGCTTTTAAAAACGTGCCTTAGAAAAAAAATATATATATAATGGTGTGCATCTTGAGACAAATCAAATTAATTTTTTTAAGATATATCAGTGCAAGTTGCTTTGTGTTAAAACAGCTCATACTTGCATTTTAGTCTGGGACTAGGCTTAAGCCTTGTTTGTGAAACCTGGGGCTTAACTTCTAAACAAGCAGCATTATGTTGGTAAATGCAACGTATTTGCGTTTAGAAGTGACCTCTGCGTTAGACTAGACCTGTGATAACATTTTCCGTTTCTCTGCAAAAAAAAAGAGTTGCCAAGGCAGATTTTGCTCATTTTCAAGTTAGTTGGCCACATGAATTTGCCACGCTTGGTTTGAAAGTGACTTCTGTGTGAGCAGTGCTTTATACCGTACATCACTACAGTAGACCTTTTTTGCCAGTGAAATTTTGATGAAATTTCGTTAATGTGATTTTGTTCGCGACATTTTACTTAAGAAGTCTTATCACTTCACTCTGGTTCAGAAAAAAAAAACTATTTATGCAATCAAACAAACATTACGCAAATGAAAACTCGTACCCTTCACTTATTAGTGAGGTAGAGATGTAGGAAACTGCAGCGATTATAGTTATAAATGATGATACGGGACTGACTTTATTAATTTTCTTACACTGTGTCATTAAAGGTATACGCCACCAAAAATGTTACATTTTCTCATCATTTACTCACTCACATGCCATCCCAGATGTTTATTGCATTATATGGACTTTTCTAAAAAAAAAAATCCATTTGTGTGCCACAGAATAAAGAAAATCATGCATATGGTGTGGCATGTTGGCGAGTAAATAATGAGGAAATGTTCATTTTTATCCCTTTAACCATCACTTTTGATTGGAAAACTGCTTTCAGTTGAACTGGAAACATCCTATTTGCTGTATTTTCTCTTCAGCTTCTAGCCAATTTTTAAATTCAATAATTATTGCTTTAAATACAACTGTTATTGCAGCATGTAGAGACGTTTAAACATGCAAACAAAGCTTGTATTTAGCTAAACGGTTTGTATCCACACATTGAAAAAGGTTTTGGAAACATTAGGACATTCTTAAACAAATGTTCTTAACTTAAGATACAAAATTTAAGGCAGCTTAACTTTTTAGTAGTACAAGAAAACCAATCACTTGCTCTGAACAACAGACTGAACAACAGACTCTCTACTCAGACAAGCTACGATCATTTGTCAAAAAATTTTCTGCCCCTTTTTTTCTAGACTAAGTGTTTAAGTGCATATTTAACCAACATATAGTATATTCTCTTGGTTTGTTTGTCTTTGTTGGCATAAATAGACCTCAGGATAAAGTACAGCCATAATCCTTATCTAAAGTCTGATAATAAACTAGACTAGACTAGTGTTTCTCAACTGGTGGGTCGCAAGACCGTTTTAAAGAAACTACAACAAACCTAATTCTATGTTTTTCTGATGCAAGAATTTAGTGTGAAAGCTGTTGACACTTCTGTCAGACGCAGTTTAACTAAAGACTGCTGTCCTGATTCAGTATCTACGGTCAGACTCAGATGAGATGTTGTCAGTGTCATTATTCTAACGTTATTTCATGCCTTGTTATGTAATAAAGTCTCTCACCTCCAAAAAACAAACTTCCCTGTCCTGTCAGACATCATACTATGCTTGTAGCGCAAGTGTGGCGGCACTGCATATAACTCAAAGAAATTATAAGCATGCAATGTCGTAGTTATGTTGTCAATTAGTAAGTCATGAAAAAAGTACCAATAAATGATGTAACAGCTACTTCAAGTGTTAAGTTGGGAAGGATTTGTATTCTGTTCTATAACAACACTGTGTTATTTTGTATATTTTATTTGTGGCGGGTCCTACTAGCTTACTTACTTTGTTGCATTAAAAAATATATAGTTTAGTTTAAGTGACATTCTTACAATTTATGTGTGTGCGTAAGTAAAGTGGGATGGCACTTGTGTGTGAGTTGACCATTTATGATAAATACATTTACTTTGTTTTTAAAAGCAAATTTATTAGAATTTTTATTAGGGCTAATTATATCTATATACACACTTTTTTTAGGAATTAGGTCAAATTGGGTTGTGGCTTAATGACCATGGTCAAATGTGGGTGCGATGACCAAACCAGTTGAGAACCACTGCACTAGAGGACATGGTTTAGAAGACATATAGTTACACCTGGACATTGAGAAGGAGTGATGATAGAAGGATGAAAACAGCTGTATGAGGCAACTGGGGCTCCAGGGTATCTCAGTATACACAGAGGTCTGGAAAGTTCATTTCATACACTGGTATGGAGCGGGTCCGGCCGTGACCGTTCCCGACAGAGCCAGACGGACTCGGCGGAGGCCTATCCAACCGAAAGAGAGAGAGAAAGATGAAACAAATGTCAGTCACACGAGACAGACAATATAGCCTCTTTCCATTGTGGTCGATTCATACTGTATGTATTTTTACATAGTATATAATGTCCTTTATGCACAATTCAATGTTTAGAAAGGCTCATTTATAAACAGTTACAGAAGATCATGTACCTGATTGTGATTTCAAAGATTTGGTTGAGTTTATTCTGCAGTAGGGAAGCCTACAAAAATAAAAAAAAAACAGTACAGGTGGAGAGTTCATCCAAAATATAAAAAGATACGAACAGATGTATGCGCAGAACAGAAGAGCTGTGTTTGTGCTTTTTGATGATAAAATTAGAGCTTGAGAGTGTGTGTATACAGGCTTTCTGCATTAGACTCACCCTGGCCCCGCAGTGAGCTGCTATCTCTTCAAATGGAGCGTTCTGAAACCTCTCCACCACCTGCCTTCTGCGCTCTCTCTCCAGCTCCTCTACATTCACACTGTCTACTGAACACACACGCACACACACACACTCACGGGTGATTCTGTGCTAACTGCCACAGACCAGCCTACAAAATGTCCTTTTTACCCTTTAAAAGTTAAAAATGTTTTTGTATCGTCTCTTCTTTAGTCCTTTGTGTTTAATGTAATTTCAAATCATATTTTATAGCAATCTGTAAAGGGTTTTTTCACCTAAAAATTCAAAATTCTGTTATTAAATACTCTCAGGTCATTCTGGTTCTCAACTCCAGTCCTCAGGACCGACTGCTCTGCACATTTTGTACTGTATGTCTCTCTTATCTGACACACTCAGTTCAGTTCATAGAGTCTATCCTAACGAGCTGAGGATCTGAATCAGGTGTGTTAAATAAGGGAGACATACACAATATGCAGAGCAGTGGGTCCCGAGGACTGGAGTTGTGCCACCGATTTGATTATCTTTGGAACACAAATGAAGATCTTTTTAATGAAATCTGAGAGCTTTCTGTCCCTCCATTGAAAGCCTATGCAACTACCACTTTGTTTAAAAGGCAATAAAGACATCGTAAGAATGAATTTGTGATGCAAGTGATAAAAAGTAACACTTTAATTACAAAATATTAATCTCCAGTGCGCATTCATGCAACGTCAACACAACACGCATGAGTCATGGTGCTCTCGTGAACGAGCATTTTACGAGATTCATATTTTGTAAATAAAGTGATGAATTATGTTTTTTTGCGTTTTTTAGCACTCACGTCACTTTATAAAGTTGAGGTTAAACCACCGGAGTACTCTAATTATGTCTTTACTATTTTTCTGGGGGTTGAAAGTGGTAGTTGCGTAGCTGTCAATGGAGGGACAGAAAGCTCTCAGATTTCATTAAGAACTTCATTTGTGTTCTGAAGATGAATGAATGGCTTACCGGTTTGGAACGACATGAGGGTGAGTATAATTAATGACAGAATTACATTTTTTTGGATGAACTAACCCTTTAATCAGAGAGACAGTTCTGCAGCATTTCTATAATAACACCAAAGACATAAGCACAAAAATTACCCAATAGCGTTAAAAAGTTTAAAAGAAGTTTTTAAAAGAAGTCTTATGTTCACCTTGGCTGCATTTATTTGATCAAAAATACAGTAAAAACAGTAATATTGTGAAATATTTTTTTTTTACAATTTAAAATACATTGATGATATTTTACAATGTTATTTATTAATGTAATGGCAAAGTCTTCAGTCTCACATAATGCTTCAGAAATCATAATATGGTGATGTGGTGCTTAAGAAACATTTGTAATTATCAAATTTGAAATAGTGATACTTTTTACAGCATTCTGGGATAAATATATAGCTCAAAAATGTTTTTGTATTAATGACACTTTTGATCAATTGTTGTCATTTGTGATCAATTTAATGCATCCTTGCTGAATAATACCATTCTTTACTTAAAACAAAATATAATAAAATAAGGTATTGTACATACAATGTCAATACAAGTATACAAATCATGCAAGACTTACCAATGGCTTGTTTAAGAGTTTCAAATGTTATTTGCTCTGCTGTGGATCTCTGTAAGGATACAGATCATAGTTGAATAAAAACATACCTGATAGTAGATCCAATTCTATGAGGTGGCCACACACACACGTTACCTGCTCTTTCTCTGGACTGTTTCTAGAATCCATCTCTAACTGCAGAGAGACAGTGTCTCCAATGCTCTTTCTCTTGGACAGTCTGTCTTCATCTGAGTTACAAAAACAATATTTTTTATATACTATGAAGAATACCAGAGATAAAAAAAAATCTCAGCTGTAATATAATATTAAACTGTGAAAAAACAAAAAAAACAAAAAACGGACATGCAGTTTTAGTGTATTTAAATCTCAGGTTAAGGGTCAGACCTGTGATCTGTGGGATGTATGGTGTTGCCAGTCTCTCTGTGTTGTATCCACTGCCGCCCAGCATCTCTGCTATCTTAGTCTGCAAAAACAGCACCTCTCCTTCCACCGTCTCCAGCTTCTCTGGGATCCTGAAAGAAAAAGAGGCTCTTCTTCAGCCTTCTGAGGTAGTCATGATGATCATCGAGTAAAAGAGCACTAGGATTATTTAACAATAACTGAAAGGCTTTGAACCGAGTAAAAACTGTACAGTACGTTCCCATCCCAGAACAGATGTTCATAAGAAGTCACGCAGAACTACACATTTCTATTGATCTGTTGTGAAAGTTGGGTCTCGCAAAATGGTGAAATAAACATTATGGTAGTCTGTACAGTCTCTACAGTGGTTTGAAGACGACAAGGTGTTGCTTACTTAAAGCTCTCAACAAGAACATCCTCTGGAAGCAGGAAAGGGACAATTTTCTTTCTTGACTCAATCACCTGCAGAAAAAAAAAAAAACATCAAACAGACAGATGGGTCGATGGATGGATGAGACAGACAGAAAAACAGATAGATAGACAAGATATTAGATAGACAGACAGACAGATCACCTCATGGACGTGTTGGCAGAAGGTGGGCACAGTGGTCAGCTGGCTGATGAGGTTCAGGTAGGCAGCTGACAGAGCGTGAATGGCACAGCGGGTATATACAGGAAGACCCTCTTCAGTCAAGGCCAGGTCCTGAGGAAGAGGATGCATCAGTTATATTGTTATTATACCGCAGGTTGAAAGACACTTTAATGACTTGTCTGTAAGATTGGTAAATACTATACAGTACTTGTGTTAGCTTTTAACATTTATATTTACTATTACATATTTTTATGCCACTTATGTGTCTACATATCACAAGGAGTGAGAGAAATACCTGTAAGGCCAAAGCCAGTCTGATCAGGTCCACCACCACTTCCTCATTGGCCAGTTCCACACAGATCAACCCCAGCAGCATATGCAGAGACTCAAAGTGTCGCTGGACACTGCTTTCCTCTTTGCAGGCCAGGTAAATGTGGCGGTACAGCCTATGGCTGTGTTTCTTCATGAACAGGTTATCCTGCCTTGAGCATTTGTCTACTTTCAGCTTTAGTACCGAGATATCTGATATAATTCTGTAGAAAACAACACAAAAATACATTGTAAAATGTTTTGTCAGGTAATTTTAACCCTCATGGTCTACTGTAGCAAAAGTGCATTTTTTTGTAATTATATTATATCAATTTTTTCCCTCACTAAATACCAATTTCTGGCACGAAACTCTAGATGGCGCAGCCTGATAGGTCCTGACTTAATTTAGTAGAGATTGCATCATTATAAACTCTCCACCTTCCCCAGTTCTACCTGTATAGATCTGCTATGTTCATACATGCAGCAGCAGCATGTCGTACATGATCACAGCAATGTATGTGAATGTATTGGCGGCAGCGTACCAGATCTGTTCCGCCAGGAACAAATACGTCATGGTCATATCTATTACTATGCCGATCTCTCCAAAAGTTGTCATGGCAGAATATAGGTTAAAACTACATATACGGGCAATTTGCTAACAAAAAGTACCAAAACTACCATGGTATTGCAATGTTTTTATCTTTTTTTATGTTTAATGTTTTCTCAGGTAACCTTAAAATGTGGTTTATGCTGCAACATATGGTTTTATTCAAACTAAAATATTATTTCCTATGACTACAATCAAGTTATACCAATGAAAAAATATTTTGGAAGGGTCCAATCAGATTTAAATAAGTTATTAAGTATGTAGGTATTTAATTGATCATGCATGGTCACACATTTTTAGGCTTCAAATAAAACTAAATAATTTTTAGAGAAGGACTACACTACAACAGTAAAATGTTTTGAGTCATGACATATTTCAAATCCTGGTAAGTCTGGTTATTTTTAGAGGTACATTGTAGATTCCTAGAGACTTGAGTTAGTCAGTGTGTTCGAACCTGACAGGGGTGAATTTGTGCCGGTTGTCATGACGATCAATGATGCTGACGAGGATATCGAGAACAAGTAGACGGATTTCTGCGTCCTCCATCAGAGTAAAGGACAAGAGAGGGTCCAGGAATGAGGTGGGAAGTGCTGTCAAAATGTTCGTAGACTGGAACCCTGCTGTTACCTGAAGGAGACAGAGAGAGGCCGACGTTTAAAAGGCACATGAGATCATTAAACTTTTGGACTGCATCAGCAACTGTGGATATCATGAAACAGCAGGGCGAGTAAATGGCCCTCCGCATGGCACAGCGTGTGATTATGACTGACACAAACCAGCTCACCTGCAGCAGAGACTTTAGAAGCATAATCTGGATCATCCTACTGCCCTCAACCCTGAAAACAGAAACAGAAAAAAAAAACAATTCTTGCTATGCTGGTGTTTATCTGTGTTATTATTCCTAAGCTAATTTGCATTTCATCACTGCCCAGCAGAAATACATTATAAACATGTCTAATATATAAAGTCTAGGTTATAACCCTGTCTCACCCGGTGTTGGCTGACCCCAGAGACGGATACATGCCAGGCACAGGGATTTTACCGATGATGAACAGCATGACTTCCGAGCGCTGGTAGGTGGGCAGCGTGTTTGCAAATGAGCCTGTAAGCAAAGGAAGCTAAGTGAAAGATTGTGCCCAGTCAGCTAAAAAAAAACCTTCAGGGTGATACAAGACCCCACACGTGAGTCCTGATAGGCTTTATTTTGTGATGATGACAATGATCAATGTATCTATGTATCTATCTATCTATGAAATCAGTTTGACAACAGTCAATTATAGTGTTTAGCCACGTTCATTTTACAAAAATATTTGACCGCTGAACACCATGACTGCCTGATTTACTCAGAAACATTCATTGTTCACCTACCAATAGTTTTAATGACAGATTCTTGGAGTTGTCTCTCCTCATGTACTGTAATGACCTTGGAGCCCATGTTTGCAAAAGAGTCATAGGATCCAGTGAGTTCGTAGTCCACACTGAGCCTGAGCTGCTTCAGTAGAGTATTAAACACCTCCAGTACTGTGGGCCCTGTGAAGAGGTACGGCACACAGACGAAAATAAATTAAAAGGAACAATGCAGACCTGTATGATTTCTACATTATAAAACATAATTATTTCTCAAACATATAAACATAGATGCATATGAAATAATCAGCATGTATGTGACTTTTAAATAAGTAATGAAAGAATAATATGAGAAACAAAATCATATAAAAGTGCATATTTTGTCTAATGAGGTGGGTTTAGTGCTCCCTCTAGTGGCCTAAAGACAGACTGGTACCTATGGAGCCACTGGCTTCTATGACCGCTGCTTCTGAGATCACCTCCACTATCCCAGCACGCACTCTGGCTGAATTCTTACTGTTGGCATCCAAGTGGCCTAATAGCTGCTGAATCACTAGATGTGAATGTTGGGTCTGTCAAAAAAACAGTAGACATGGTTAATATTACAGTAACACAGATGAATATGGAAATATCTAATCATATTTTCATGCTTTAGAGTCACACTGAATGATAGTGTTTAGTTAGATTCAACTCTGAGGCCATTATTTAGACCCGTGAATAAATATAAACAGATTTTTAACACAAAAAACAGAGAAATGTTGTAAAGTCAACATAAAATGTCAATACATTAATGTAATTTTTAACTCCAATTGCAAAATTAGTAATATTTTAGCTACTGGTATTAGACTTTTGAACCATATCGTAATGTATAAAATATGTCCCCAAACACCCCATAATTTTTTATTATCAAAGGGCCATGCTCCATAAAAATAAGTATAGTGATGTATTTTGCATTACATACTTTCATGACCAAATTTCAGCAAAGCTGTTTGTATCTACCTGAATGGAGTACATAATGATTTTGAAACAGCGCACTGCAAAAGCTTTGCCCTCCCAGAGTGAATGATTATCAAGATGCCTGAAAATACAAAAGTAAATGATTAGCTTCAGCAAACAGAACTTAACAGGAAATAGCACATATAGTAGGTCATAAAATACACTGGCGTAACAGACACTTTTACTGTGCAATTGTTTAAGGCTAACAATGAGGACAAATTGTTTAATTTTTTTTTTTTTTTAATTTTTTTATTCTCTTTCCAATGGAAACCTCGACTAACAAAATCAAAATAATTGTTTTTAATTTATAATTATTAATAATTCATTCAAACATTCTCGTCCATTCCATTTACACTACTGTTCAAAAGTTTGGGATACAATTTAAAATAAATGTTTTCTAAATTAAAGTATTATAAAGTGTGTGTCATTAGTCCTGTTGACAGCAATACTGAATTTTCAGCATCCATTTTCAATGTCACATGATCCTTTGATGAATAGTAAAAATTAATTTCAAGCGTTTATTTGAAATATAAATCTAAATCTTTATGACTTTATGTCTAACCTAATGTCTTTACCATTGCTTTTGATCAATTTAATGCATCCTTGCTGCATAAAAGTATTAAAACGAATAAGAATATGACCCCAAAGATTTGAATGGTAGAGTATGTGCATATGTACTAGTAGTCCAGTCAATTAACATGATCATTAATGTCATCTCAATCATTCATTTATAAGTTTCATTTTATGCCATATATTGTCACATATACAGTATGTCCTTTATTTATTCAAAATAAATATTCAAAATCAAATTTAAAATTGTTAATTAATATTGTCAAAATATTCATGCCTCACACAGATGCTAAAGTATTTGTATAAAATGAACTAAAAAATGAAAACAGATGTGTCTCCTTGCTGCCCTCTTGTGTTTGATAAGGTACTGGTGCATAAACACTCACATGAGCACAGGCTTCACAGCATTCTTGATGTTGTCGTAGGCTGCTCGTCCCAGCAGCTCTCGAAAACATCTCTCGGTCAGTTCCACTGGACTTTCCTTCTCCTTCTCTGTCCCTGGGGAAGGAGACCTATCGATAGTAATCAGAAACAGAAAACACACATTAACCAAGGCTGAATCAATAGGCGATTGTTGTTGGCAATACCGTTAGATGTGGTCAGTGATTTCCCCAGAGGTGAAGATATGAACAGGTTCTTCACACAGTTCAATTCATTGTTCATGGTCTGCATATGACCCTCGGGCTTTGGGCTTATTAGGCTTACAGCCAGTACAGCAGCTTCTAGAATACATTACTTTCTTATTGCACTTAAAAGCCTGACTCCTTTAGGCTTGTTGTTATATCACACACTTTTCAATAGCATTCCATTAGAAGTTCATTAGCTTAATCACACAGTTATTAGCAAGACATTGTTTCTCGGAAGGAAAATTCACACTTCCATTAGACTAAAAGTGTCCATTTCATGTGTGATTGTGTAAGCGAGGCACCTCTCTGCAGCTTCTTCCTGTTGGAGGTTGAACAAGAGAGACGGCACGATTTTGTCCATGTGCTGAGGGTCCCAAATATTTGCCTGAAGCTCGTCATTGACAGTCTTCCTCACCACCCCCTGAAGACCCCTGATCCCTGCCATACGAATCCTTACACAGAGATATACACACACACACAACCCAAACTGACATTAGTTAGTCACGCTTACGAGACATGTGGATTTATATATATGGGTATTTTTATTCAAGTGCACTGCATGATGCAATTCAGCCCCTGGTGCATGAATTATTAAATCAAAGCGGGGAAGAAAGAATATATTATTTCTAATCTTGTTCCACTCGATCCCTATTATATTATAAATATTAAATTGTACCAGTATCTGAGGCAATGTCTCACCCACACACTCTCATGCAGGCATGTGTACACACATGTGATCCCTATCGCTCTAGTTCTACAAAGCTTTAAAGTTCACAGTAAGTCAATAAGTAAATAATTGTGCAATTAATTGCATTTCAATAATACAATTTGTATTATTCATAATAGAATTAATTATTTTTATTATTAACTTTATTTGTTATTTATTATAAAATTAACATTATTTAATTTCAAATAGTCTAAGTCTACATGAAATGTCACAAATTAAACATTTAGGCTACTTCTATCATTTTTAAATAAGTCATTTCCTTCATGTATTTGAATTGCACATACAATTTCCATCCATTTTGGATTACACAGTTTTAACATAAAATGTAAGTAGTTTTATTTATTTTTTTACGGACACAAGTTACACAGTGTACCTTTAAATATCTGTCCATGTTAAGGGACACCATGCATCAGAGGCTTAACCAACAAAAACAAGAAGAAACCAGATTTTCAAAATGCATATTTTTGGGTGTAAAAATCTTCCTCTGTTGAAATGCTGGAGAGACATGCTCACTTTGTGCGAATATCTGGATCCTCGTAACTGGAATGGCACATCTCACTGAAGCGTGAGACAAAGAAATCGTAGCTACGGTGGTATGATGGTGTATCCTCCTCTATGTTTGCAAACTTCACAAACTTAAAGAGAAAGAGCAGAAAAATATAGAAAGTTACACTTTATAGCAGGTGGCCTTGCCAACTTTGTACTAACATTAAATGCCTACAAGACTATGGATATATTGTGTAACTACACGTTGTTCAAGAAGTTTGAGTTGCGGTTAGGTTTTGTAGGATAATTAGGATAATAGGGGTTAGAATTTTGTGGCAAGGGTTGGGTTAGGTTAGGGGTATGTAATTACAAGTGTAAATTAAATACAATTACTTTAAAGGGGTCTTTTATGTTTCTGGAAAAACACTTAATTTCAAGTCGCTTTACCTTTTTCAGAAATGCAAGTAAATACCATTGCTGTGATTGACAAACTTCGTCACACAAAGCAATGCCCTCTTCCATGTGTATGAGCGTAAATATCAAGGACGTTTCGATTTTCTGTTTCATGACCCACTTTAAATGCAATTATAATGCACCAACATGTACAGTATGTAGGCTACATTATATACTGCATCAAATAGTTAAGAAGTAGTTTTAGTAGCCATCTAACAAGTTAGACTGAAGGTTTTTTCGGTAAATACACAGTTAGAGACTCTTTCTGGCGTGATATTAAAATTATATTCAACAATCACTAATGAATAGATGAATAGTGATAGAAGGGATGGGATCTAATCAGTAAGATCCAACATTGACATGTTGAGTCACATGCCTTAATCCTCAAAATTGCTGGAGCTTGATATTGAATATTTCTATATTGATGGGCCTATGCAGTTCATGGATATATAAAACATTTTAAGACATTCTATCAAAGTCTTGACAATTTGTGTCAATATTCCTAAAGCAAAACCAGTTGAGAATCACTTCTTGGTATGTTAATCTGTACTTATGCGGCAAGGATACTTTCCAGTAGGCTACAAGAGATTAGGATATTTCTGATTAGGATTTCTTAGATTTGAGATAAGCATCAGTTGCCCAGTGGAGTTCCACACCAATACATGCATACTGAGACTGAGAAGAAAACTCTGCACAACCCATAAATTCTGTAAGCATGCGCACCGCTTTCAATATTTATGGGCCACATGCCTTAAGCCCTGCCCCATCTGGCCTCGATCTGTAAAAAGTAATCTCTTTTTAATCTTTAAGCCCTTATATTTCAGAAGCATCAGATGTGAGCGATTTTGAAGTTGAGAAATCTCTACATTCCCATTAGCATGTGAGTTAGGTGGGTGTAAAGCTTTTAGAGACGATGTTGAGGTTTCACGTTCCAAAGTATAAATTAATTTTTGTTATGAATGCTTGTCATGTAAAATGAAATGAGATGAGTTAGAGTGGGCATATACTGTGTAACTGTATATTTCAGGAAAGGGGGGAAGGTCTGGCATGAAGTAATGGATTCTGTGCAGTATTTAAATACAGAACTTATAAATATAGAAATAAATTTAAACATAAATGTACAGAACAAACTAGATATCTGTGTGTAGCTATAGCATCATCTTCTCTATGAAAATAACTATTTTTTATATCATGGAATACAAATCCCCAATTTTATTTTTATTTTTTTTATAATTTTCAGTTTTAGGGAAAAGGGGGGAAATATCTTAAAATACTTTAAAAACTTAATCATACCTAAAACACACTTTGAAGCATATGGGTAACCAAACAGTTGATAGACCCCATTGACTTAAAAAGGAAAATACCATGGAAGTCAATGGGGCCCATGATCAACTGTCTGGTTACCGTCATTCCTCAAAATATCTTTGAGGAACTATCCCTTAAAGATGTCATACTGTGGGGATTGATTGGCACGGAGGGCTTTATATTTATATAATGTTACTGCTCTGCAATTGACCCTTCACTGAAAGCCTGACATCTGAACCTGTGGTGTTGATGCAGCAGCCACATCTCCCTCTGTCATGAAGAAACACCCAACTCAAGGTAGATTCATCCAGTGATCATATAGACCCTAGGTCCGAAAGCAGTTTTCACTAGAGTGTAAAAACAGTAAATGTTACTCACTGAGTTAGTGCCCAGGATCTGTAAGTTGGGTTTGTCTGCCTCCAGCAGTTTGCGCACCATAGTAAGGAAACTCTCCACAAAAAGGTTTATACTCTGACAGTGACAGGCCATCAGCAGCTGGTCCAAAGCCTCCATAGCAATACAAACATACCTGTGAGACACACAACTATGATACTGCCCTACCAACGATCACAGACAAATATACAGTGACAAATCAGGTATAAATAATACAGTTCGAAACAATCACTACATTTTCTTCCAGTTTTTGTTTTTACCCATATCTATGCCGGGCAACATCTCTGGATAGTCTTTCTGACAGGTAGGCACCGATACGGTCCAGTTTCTCTGGAGCAGACAAGGCGTAAAATGTAAGCTTCTCCATGTTAGCTTTCACCAAACCGTCCTTTAAAGAAGAAGACAAGATGGGTAGACGGATAGAGAGATTATCAGAAGAACATAAGATGAAAAATGACCATAAAATATCACTTTAAACTTTTCTCTCCCTGAAAAGAACATTACATAGATTATTTGTCTTCTATTATGAGTCTAATACTGATCCCGAAGCTTGTCTCATCATTCAGAAGAGAGACAGATTCAAATACTTTCCAGTTTTGTGCTTTAACCATTCATGGTCAAATATACCAGGGGGTTCTTTCTAAAATTAAATAATTGGCTTTTATTTGTAATCTGGAATACGGTTTAATTTATACTTTGTATTAAATCATCAGTGCATTTATTTATTTATTATTATTTATAATATTATATTCATACAAATAGATATTATTAACTTACAACTTATATTTGTACCCAATATTAGAAACACAATTTATATATATTGTTTATATATAACCCATAAATAAAATTTATATATAAATATATTGTGCATTTCCAATAAATATAATTTAAAAACTGTATAGAGGCAGTAGTGAGAAAGTAGTGAGAAAGCGAAGGATGAAAATGAAAAAGACATTTATATAAATAATTTAAGATCATACGCACTTTGCAAGAAATTAACCAAAAAAAAAAAGCATGCGTGTCTGTGAAGACAATCGGGTGACCATGCAGCAGACCTGCCAGGCCACAGTGGCTCTAAAACTAATAAATGTCAGCATTGAAAGCCTATGTCTACATCACTGCACTGATCCCTGATGATTGATAACCAATGGAAGCCTAGTGAACCATCCCTTTTTCATACTCCGTGCTTTTATTGTATCTGACCTTACCTCAGGGTCTTCTGGAAAGATGTTATCCACCAGCCGCTTATAGCGGGGTCTCAGGGCCCCACAGCATCCACAAACCCCTGAATCACATGGGACAAAGTGAATTAGAGAGCAGCAGAGCATCTCAAGCATGTAGTATTGATCAAGAGTCTTTGTAATTATCCTCAATGTGAGGTTTATTTATTGCATCGACACATTAAATAAATTAGACCTGTGTGCTGTAATCTAGTAAGTGAGGCCAGTCGATTCAGAGAAAGGCATTAATCTGTATTTAGGAAACGTCTGCAGCTTGGTTTGCCGGTTAAATAGATTTGAAAAGAAAGCATTTCGAATTGTTTTGGTTTTACACTGGCACTTGAAAGACCATAAAAGGCTTATGAACACATTGTAAATCACAGGGGGCAAATAGTAAAAAAAGGGGTCTTTAAATTCTCGTTGATGATAAAAGTTGATGATAAAGTTGATGATAACAGTTATACGCAAAGGTATGAAATATATTGTTAAAAAAATTACATTTAATTAAAATGAACAGCATGATTATTTATTAGTCAGTGCTATTTATAGTGTTATAGCATTTATTAATATTTTCAACTAGTATTCACTTTTTCATTTTGTTTTAATTTTAGTTTAATATTTAGTAATTTTGTTATGTGCTTTTGTTTAATTTACATTTAATTTATTGTCATTCCAGTTTAGTTTTTGTCATTTTAGTACTTAATTCAGGATACCATGGCAACAATTTTTCATCAAATATTAGAATATTTAATTTTATTTCAGTTACTTAACAGAAATTAACAAAATAAATGTTAGTTAATGATAAAAGCAATGAGGTTAATGTTCATAAACTTCTTATAAAACCTTGGCAGAGTAACATAATCCATCCATTTTAAACAGCATTTTTTGTGTGTTTTTTAATGAGTTTAATGAGTCATTAATTGAGGGAGGCTAAATGGAATTCATGTTCTTTTAAAATGTCATTGTTCACCACAGGACTACAGTATTTAAGCGACCTGAATGAAGGTAAAAGGTGATTAAAATTGTGAACAATTTGACTAGTCACAGCATCATAGATATTCTAGTCAAGTCACCTTTATTTAGATAACTCTATTTACAATACAGATTATATCAAAGCAGCTTCACAGTGATAACATGAAAATAACAAAGTTTGTGTCATCGTCCAATAACATGTTGAATATTAAATGTTTCCAACTAAGCAAGCCAAGAAGGCAACAGTGACAAGGAGCCAAAACTCCATCAGACGACAGAATGGAGAAAAAACCCTCGGGAGGAACCAGGCTCAGTCGGGAGCCAACGAGTGAACAATGTATGATTATGATCCAGGCAGCATTACAGTACATGTTAAAAGTCAAATTGGATCAGAACATTCATTGAAGTTGGAGTCAACACGCCAATATGGAGATGAGTTTATTGAGAATCAATGCCGATGGCTGTCGTGTCGATGAGGCCTTCACATGGCTGATGAGACTTCAGGGATACAAAACTTTTCCTTATAGATTCATATAACGCTTAACCTAAAATCTTGATGTTGAATCAAATCAGTTCATGTCCATGTTATTTTTTAACTACCAATTAAAGCTCCACAAACATGCTTTGTCAATAAACACACACACACAAACCCCCTTCTGGGCGGATGAGTCAGAGGCAGCACCTTGGAAAGACCCCTGGGAAGGTCGAGTCTGTTTACACCATCACCATAGTGAAAAAGCTTCATCATGGAGGAAAGTAAACAAACCACAGCAGGTGGAACGATCAGAGTCAGACTGCACTGTGCAACCACCCACACAATGGCTATTTTATTCTAGTCAAATATATAAAGGGATAGTTTACCCAAAAATGAAAATTGTTGTCATTATTTACTGACGCTTAAGTTGTTCCAAACCTGTACAATTTTATTTTATCTGTTGAACACAAAAGAAGATATTTTAAAGAATGTTGGTAACCAGACAGTTTTTGGCCCCCATTGACTTCCATAGGCTTTTTTTCCTGCTATGGAAGTCAATTGTCTGGCTACCAACACTTTTCAAAATATCTTCTTTCGTGTTCAACAGATGACAGAAAATTGTACAGGTTTGGGACAACCTGAGGGTGAATGCTTGGTAAATGATGACAGAATTTTCATTTTTGGGGGAACTACCCCTTTAAGGATAATATCACATAATCACACACACAGTATGACTGATACAAGCAATTTGGTGTATATAGAATCTATCAGTAAAAGAATCAGTCTACAAAACTCAACACAAAATTTAGGTATACTGACTCAAGCCTGCTGTCTGTCAAGCTGGCGTTTACCAAGATCGTGATTGGCAATTATGGTGTGTTTGAATGTGAGAAGAGCTGGAATGTGAGTCACACATTGGCCCGTGCACTTGCTAGTGTTCTGACACATCAGCGTGACACCTCTACGCCTAAAGCATCACAAGTAGAAATGAAAAAAAAAAACCTTGACAGTCAACACGAATATTTCCACCCACACACTCAAGACTGCAGTGAATCCTCTCACACTCACTGTTTCTCACTCCAAGAGTGTTTCAGCCGTCAAAAAAAGGGTCATTAATTACCGCAATGTGTAATCACTTAAAAAATGACACAAACAAACAACTATACAGATTCAGAATGCTGTGCATTTTAATTGACCCAAGTAGTTGGTTAGGAAAAATACTTAATGGTTTTTGAATGCTAGCTCATTCTCACAAATAAACAAGTATATTATTTGCAAAATAAAATTTAAACACGCATATAGAAAATAGTGACATTATGAAGACATTTTTCAAAAAAATTGGAACTATAAAGCCAGAACACAAATGATTAAAATAAATTTAAACTTAGGGTACGTTACGTTACACAAATGTGTTTTCATTTGCATTTTTCTTGAAACTTTGCATTTTTTGTGTGCACACGACAACGTTGTCAAATCAATCACATTCACAGTCACACGGATCTGCAAAAACATCTAAAACATCATCATAACTGTGTTATGCATGCCAGGTCAGTAGATGGGGGTCACCTGACTGAACATGTAATGTAATACGCATGTGCATGATGTCACTGTTTTCACAAATTCACATTTTTGTACTGTAGTTTACACCGAGACGATAACGGTATAGTTGAAAGACTTGTTTTCAAAAATTTGCGTTTTCAGGTTCCCAAAATGCTGTTGTCATGTAAATGACTGTCCAAAAAGCATAAAAAGTTTTACATTTTTAGTTGAAAACGATGTCGTGTGAACGCTTACTAAATTTATTTTATTATAATTTTAATAATAATATTTTTTATTATAAATAATATATAATTAAATAACAATTTAACTATAAACTTGCAAATCTCAGTGCATAAAAAATGATCTGTACCATGCATTTGTGCTTCTAAAACGGAGGACTTGATGAGCAGCCCTCCAACATAATCATCCAAATAGCAAAAAGTAGGCTAAACATTGAGTTCATAAATCCATGCTCTACAAGAGCTACAGGAACTGCATTACTAGAACTGCATGAGCTACAGTATATTTATGAAACGCAAGCACTTTGGCATTCTGCTTCTCGGACAGGGTGGTAAACACTACCTCCACCGTTCCCTCTGGTTTACAACCCTCATAATTCTTTCTTTTATGTAGGTATGTGTATTCACCTGACAGAATCTAGTCACACTGACTGAGCCCATGAGGCCAAAATATCTGCTTTTAGGTTCATTATTTTTACACACTATATCAAAAGCGGTACATTTAATGACAATGTTAACAAACAAACAAACACATGTAAAATGTTCACGCTCAAAATGCACAAACTACTAAATAATTTAAACTGGGAGTGCAGCATCAATTCTAGGGAAGTAAGTGCATACTTTGTTGCCAAGAACAACCTACATGCACATCTGCTATCTGCTTACGCTGCAAAACAAAAGCTATCGCTGGCACTGTGACAAAGAGGATTAGGTCACAATAAAGAACTAGTCATGCTTGGATGTACTACTATATGACTGATATGATCTCCTCCAAGCTGGCAGGGATACTAGAAGACATCCAGCTTTAATAGAGCTTATATGGGCTACTAAAACAATTACATAACACAAAAACTCACTATGCATGCGAATGAATCAAACTCCATGTTGTGAAAGCTACAGTATGGAAAATCAATCTTTCCAAAACATAAAACGCAGACTCTTGTAGTGACGCAGTCACTCTAAATACAGTTCCCCTGAATTGTTAGAGCTTCTTGAAATGACAGCTATATTTAGCATATCAGCCAACACAGATGCCATATCCCTTCAGATTGCCAAAAACAGGACACAATATCAAACACACTCACTCTCATAAGGCAGTGTCACAGTGAAAAAGCAGAACTGCAGAGAGGGAACTTCATGAGGGGAAGAGAATGTAATCTATTGATTTCATTTTTTTTTACTTTGTCACTGGTATCTCTACTTCCATGAGCAGTTAGTTCATCTAAAACTATGATTTGCATGCCCAGAAATCTGTATGAGAATAATGATGTGCCTTTTTGTTAAAGCTTTAGGGTCCAGAGAATGTGTTTCAGTATTGCTATTAAAGCATAACATATTATGTCCCAAAATAGTTTGCAATTGTTACCAAAATATGAATATGAATGACACATAGTGAGGTCCAAAAGTCTGAGAATATCCTAAAAATAAAATATCTAATTTAACATATAAATCCAAAGAAAATTTGCATGGGGATTCAGAAAGAATAAATAAAAATAAATACATTGTGGCATAAATTTTAAAATATAAACTACAATTCAAAAGTTGAGTAAGTAGCCAAAGTTTGTAATGTTTTTAAATATTTTTTTCTCAGCAAGGCTGACTTCATTTGATCAAAAACAAAATAAAAACAGTAATAATATTGTAAATATTATTACATTTAAATAAATATTGTCGTATTATTAACTATTTAATATTTTTATTATATTATAATAATATATATTTAATTTATTTTTGTGATGGCAAAGTTGAACAGTCTTCTAATATGATCCTTCAGAAATCATTCTAATATGCTTATTTAGTGCTTAAGAAGCATTTCTTATTATCAATGTTGAAAATAGTTGTGCTGCTTAATATTGTTGTGGAAACCGTGGTATAACAATGTATTTGAAATATAATGTTTTTGTACATAGTAAATATTTGTTGTCACTTTTGATCAATTGAATGCATCCTTAATGAATAAAACTATTAATTTCTGTAAAACATATCTAACTGAAACCAAACTTTTAAAAGTTAATGTATATTTAGCATTATCAGGGAAAACAAGTATATTTGTAATACTGACCACGTGAACTCTTATAAATTTATAAATTATTTTTATACTCAATGTCATGCCAATGTCATTTTAATTATATATATATATATATATATATATATATATATGCATGTAGGTAAGAAAAACATATACATGATTTGTTATTGCTGATTTACTCCTCTTTTGAATTCCTTAAGTGTAAAATCTGAATAGCATAATCAATCATCATATATAACCGACTTAATCCTACATTCTCTCAAAACAGTTTTGTAGCATGCGTGGAGAAATCTGAGTGAAATACTCAGGCCATTAAAAATGTAATCGATCTGGTTTTAAAGTGCTACAGCCAGTCGCACATCCACGCTGTGAGAAATTAGAGTCGCAGTCTGACTGCCTGCAGCTCACTCAAAACATCCTCGACCATGCGTGCTGGTCGGGCAAAATCATATACAGCAGGAGATATAAATAAATCAATATGTGTACATGTAAATGTATTGTTAAAGTAAATAACTGGACATTGCAGTGGTACGTTTTAGTAGTGGTGGAAAGTAGTGTGGATGAACCTAAACCGGTGTAGCCTGAAAATGAATGATGAAACCAAATATGCACAATAAATAGAGCAGAGCTGCAATGCTGCATGCAATCTGTTGCTTCAGCATCATTCTGCTGTCATTGCCATAATCTCCTCTGATGCACATGAATCTTTCCTTCAACACAGAGAGGGAATTACCATATATACACATAATCATGCACTAACACAATCGCCCTTACCGTACATTGATGGAAAACCTGATGAAATTCTCTGTTCTTTGCCTGAAGCCTCTTTCTCGGTCACATAGCCAGTGAGAGAGAGAGAGAGAGAGAGAGAGAGAGACACTCACACACAAACACTCTCACAGACACTCAATCACACACGCACGCTCGCATACGCCGCATGTGACCGGGCTCCAATGACCTTGGATTTTCCAAACACGGCACAGCTTTCCATCTATCAGGAACAATGGTGTTTTAACACACATGTGCACACACACACAAATACACACTCACACACAATCAAGCACGCACACAGCCCCTCCTCAGCAAAGACGAACACAGTCACACACCTCCTGACCATTCAACAATGAGAGGGAAGGAGATGAGGGGGGCGTTAGAGAGATGGAGAGGGTGAAAACACAGGATGAGAGGGGGAAGGATTCAATTGGTGCAGCTATGCGTCTATCAACTAGAACCCCTCCTCCTATTGCTGACTCTCTCTAGTCTCTGAGTATTTTATTGTTGCTTTTTATTTGTGTATGCCTGTGTTTTTTATATATAAAACATGACTTTTTCTTTTTGGCTGCAATAGAAAGAGTATGATTAAACATTGATTTTGAGTTTTTAATATTATATCTGGATTAAAGATCAAAGAAGAAACGAAAAATCCACTTTGTCTAAATAACTAATGAAATTATTATTCATGTTGTTTCATTTTTTATTTGCTATTTTTAACATTTTTTATATAAAAATACATATACATAATAAATATGTTTTGAAAATCTTTATTTAAAAGAAACATAAATCTAAGTGTTTTAGCCTGACGTCTAATCCATGGCATGTGAAATGGCTCAGTGTTAATCTGACCGGGTTTCAGTTTTAGACACAAAACTATAGCTTATTTATGAAAACAATATATGTATTTTTTTTTTTTTTTTTTTTTGTAGTTGCTAAATGTTGCATGAGTATTCCTATGTAAAAAAATAATGGATCAAATTTCTGACAAACAGAGAATCTGGCATTAAAAAACATCCAATGTAAATAAATTGCTCATGTACTACAAATGATGACATTAAACATTGCATGTTAGTCAAGCAGCATGGAAGAAACAACAAAAGTACATTAAATAGCCTGTAAATGTGCTTACCACCTCCAGCCTGATGATCCATAAGAGTACTGCAGTCCAGGAGAAGTCTTCTTGTTGGACCTAGACAATCAGGGAGACCTGAAAAATTAGGGAAACTTGTAAGTGGCATCTTCTTGACTGTCCCTAAATAACTTAATGAGAATAATATACACGTTTATAGGCTACTACTGAAGGCTGTATTTCAGAATCCTTTTATAAACGCATGGAAGCCCAAAACTACTAGTTTTAGACGTGTAAACATGTAACTTCATACTTGTTCACTGCTGACTGTTAATACGAGCCTAGTACCACCACCTGCCTGCCTCTATGGCTATTGGTCTGTAGCACTGCCACTCTCTCTATCCCATTGGCCCAGGATCTCTTTAGACTCTTATTGCCCTTAAGATCTTATTTTTAGGGCATCAAACAAAATGTAATGTTTATATAATATTTTAAACTGTAATTTGAATATTTATCTGATTGACTTTAATGAGATCTTTAATCGGTTCTTCTGAACAACAAAATCTCAAAGAACCGATTCTAAAAACAGATTCGTGTGTTTTCGCACCACCAATCGATTTTTTTTTTTTTTTTTTACTGAAAATGCACCAGTTCGTGCCGCACAATAAACCTCGTATATGGTGCAAGTATATATGGTTAAATACACCATCTTCTATTCAAAAGACCTAAACCTCGAATTACCATGCGTAAAAAAACACAAATGGCGCGCGCCGAAGTCTGATGTCAACTTATATATCATTCTCTTAACGTTACTTCTTCAGCAGGCAGCTCATTCGTCGTCTTTCGACCAGGCTTAGTAAGTCTGACATGCACAGGTGCAAATTGTCAACCGCTGCACCGAGACCGATTGTTGTGACGGATCGTGATGAGAAACCGTGAGAAACCGAGACTCGGACATGACTCGGACCGATTCTAGGCTGCGTTCTAGTCCGCTTTTTAGACACGCACGCACTTGCGAACTTCTCCTGCCGCCATTTTGAAGTGTGGTCCACTTCGTGGAGTGTACTTCAAGTCTACTTCATACGTACGTACACTATTTAGGCAGCTCCACAACACGATTATGAAGTCAACACAGGCGTTTAATTTACTCCACCACAAACAACTCATATATATATATATTATTTTAAACAACTAAAACACATACAGAATGCTGCATTAAAAAAAATCTTTAAAAAAAATGGGCTTAGCACGTTCGCAAAGGTTCCGCCAGTAGTGGGCACCTATGGTGGGCACTCGTGCAATGTAGGCATTGGCCTATTTTTTACAGTCTATGGCAATGACGTACATTTGAGGGAAGTTAGCGAGTGAAATTTGAGCTGGAACGCAGCCCCTTGTAAGGTTATGTCCGCTTTTGTGAGCTGGTAAAATTGATTCATTGCGAAGATCCGATTCAAAGTAAGTTAAGGGTTCATTCATTCACGAGAATTGAACACAGCCAATTGACTCCCTAGTTTGTCGAATCTTTGTAAAAGGGTTGCTGTCGCCATAGAAACCCTTATCTGTTTGCTATAATTTGCCCTTATGTTTCGATTGTACACATCATGCTTACTTATCATAATTTCCATTAACCTATTTAGGAAATATATAATTTGAAATGGTGTTTTAAAACTATATGTTTAGATTTTTTACATTTATTTTATAGTACAGGCTCTGTTGAATCTGTTGTTTTCAATCCCGTGATCAAATAACGTTAGTCGTTGCTAGGGCAGCTAGCCCGTTAGCATGTCGAGTTTTAAACATATATGCATGCAAAAATACCTGCTGTTTTTGTCGGCAGCACATCATGTGTGAAATGTACTTACGATTCGGATTTATGGACAAATTTTATCCATAATATTCCGTGACACACCGGTCCTCTGTTAGCCATATAACTAGCAGGCTGTTTACTCTGTTGACGTACCGACTCAAACAGTCATACGTGAATTCTGGGGATATTTCATCTCCTCATTTTTTGGAAGTGGTTTGGGAATAAGTGCAATATGGACACGAATGTTCAGAAGAGGCGAGAAAACAAGAAGTCGTTACGGGTTAAGGTTATTAGTCTGGGAAATGCCGAGGTGGGAAAGGTAAGAATATAACGTGAACGTTACTGTTATCATGAACCATACAGACATCAAACTTAATTCTCTTTTTAAGATGTATGCTCCTTTTAAAATGATTTCCCTTTGCATGTGTATTTAATGTAAATAAATACTGATACTGTAAACATTATTTGATAGTAATCTGTTTTGCTTTAAATGTAGGAGCTTTTCATTCAGTAGGATTTTGTTTTTTGGGTATCCTGCATAGTGTGTAGCATACTAGGTTACATAAAACATATGTAATATTTCTTAATATTTTTTTCTTTCAGAGCTGCATTATTAAACGATACTGTGAGAAGCGGTTTGTGCCCAAGTATCTAGCCACTATTGGGATAGATTATGGCGTAACCAAGTAAGTGATGTGGGTTTTACAAATAATGTTCGTGTTTTCTCAAATGTAATGTTCTAAAGGCAGCCAGCAATAATTTAATCTAACATCCTTTCCAAAATGTATCATAATCATGGCACATAACGCACATATTTTGTATCCTACTGGTTCAAAATATTATCACTTATAATTTTGTTATCATGTATTCATTAATTCTTTAACTGATTGTATCTACCTTTTTTTTGCATTAATGTTAAATATTCAATATGAAAAAGTAATTAATAACCTTATATTTTTTCTTTAAACATTATTAAAGAGATTTTTTTTTTAGCACTTATTGGTGCACTAGCACATACTTGTTGATGCACTTAAAAAAAGAGAAGGTACATTAATTCCATAAATAAAGTACAATTACTGTGATTCACTGATGGGATGTAAATGAAACCTTTTTTTTTTTCACCTCTAGGGTTCAAGTTCGAGACAGGGAGATAAAAGTAAACATTTTTGATATGGCTGGACATCCTTTCTTTTATGAGGTATTGCTTACTTTGTTTTATATTTGTATGTGTACACACATTATAGAGTAATATGAATAATTATGTCGAAACAAATGTTTCTTTTTATTATAGAATGTAATCCATAATTGTTTTTTTTGTTACTGCTCTATTAATACATCTAAATAACCACAGTGTGGTAGTATTGAGCTGCTATCAATGTGTAACACCTGAAGTCAGCATGAAACAGAAGTTGTGGTTAAAGATTATGAGGGTACATGAATAAATAAAATAAAATGTGTGCAATAATACTGCAATATTTCATTCAAAAACTAAAAATTTCAGTTTTTATTTCATGATGACTTAAAATGACTTGTCATCTATTATTGCATAGAATTTGATCCCAGGTTAATATAGCTGATTCTGTGTATTTTACAGGTTCGCAATGAGTTTTATAAGGACTCTCAGGGGGTGATTCTGGTCTATGATGTTGGTCTGAGGGAAAGTTTTGATGCCCTAGACAGCTGGCTCACAGAGATGAAGCAGGAGATGGGCTCACAGGCCAACATGGAGAACATCATCTTTGTTGTGTGTGCCAACAAGGTGCCACAAGTGTTTAAATATCTGTATTATTTTTTATTTATTTGAGATTGACTGTTATAAAGTGCTGTTGTTCACCCTAAAAGGTTGACCTGACGAAAAGGCGAGTGGTGGATGAGAGTGAGGGGAGACTTTGGGCCGAGAGCAGAGGATTCCATTACTTTGAAACTTCTGCCCAGAGCGGTGAAGGCATCAATGAAATGTTTCAGGTGTGTGTCTCATTCAACTCTTTTCCGTTTACAAACCTGCTGTTGTGTCTGCTGTTGTGTTTTTAATGAATGACTGTTGTTTACCTTCTGTGTGTGCACCTCTAAAGGCCTTTTTCTCCTCCATAACTGACATGTGTGAAAATGGAGGGAAGAGACCTACTCCAGAGGTCAACGTAGGTTTTACCAAAGAGCAGGCCGACACCATCCGACGCATTCGCAACAGCAAAGACAGCTGGGATATGCTGGGGGTTAAACCTGGGGCCACAAGGTGAATCTTATGCTATATCCTACAGGTCTCTACTAGTGCTGCTGAAAGTTTGCTGAATTTAATCAAAAATACAGTAAACTTAAAGGCTTTAAAGGTTTAGAAACAACCAAAACAAGACTTATAGGCAAGGGGACAGTGGTGAAACTGATGGAAACCAAGACACACTGACAGAGAACTAAAGAAAGAGAGAAGCGTAAGTAGAAAATCAGCGCAGAAAATGGGAAACAGGTGTGTGAGTAATGAGAGTGAGAGCATTGATTATGATGGGATTCAGCTGTGATGGTAGAGTGAGGTGAACTGAAAATCAAGACATATACAGCAGAAAGGCTGAAGATCAAACCAGAGTCCTGACAACAGTAGTATATGTATCTACATTTGCCTGATGCAGCATATTGACAAATTTTTAAACTGAATAATTTCTGATTTCTTGTGAAGTATAAATTTATTTGATGGTGCAAACTAGTGATCGACTTAAAAAATAGTGGCCAATGTGGATATCTAAAGAGCATAAAATGTCAGGTATGTGATATATCATATGACTTATGAATAATAAATAAATAAAATGATTATCAATTTATTTAAATAAATGGCAAATTAAATGTTATGCTTGAAATTAAATTTTAAAATTAAGTAAATTAAATATGAAATATATTACTGTAATCATATTTGCCACTGGGTTTAAAATGTTGTTCTGTAACGGTGTTTAACCATTCCTATGGTTCCTATTCCTATGGACATGTTGCCCCTCCATCTTGAAAGTACATTAGCCAAAGAGGGACATACCCGTTAATTCAAGCTTCACCTTTCGCGTTTACGTTTGAGTTAACACTCATGGACGAGGTCGAACTGGTCTTGGACTACATTGGCCACTGTAGGAGTTAAAACGAAATCGGAATTGAGAGGAACAGAAACTAATATTCACTGGATGGTCATATACCTTTTCACCGCTAGATGGGGGTAAAAATCACACAGTGTAGCGTTACATAGTGTACTTTTTAAGAAAGCCAAAGCTAGTACTTACTAATTTGTTTTCTGGAATGTTTAGTAGAATGTCAGAACAAACAGTAAATACAATTTGATACATGTATTTCTTATTTAATTATAGTATTTCAACATGATTGATGCAACACACTGCAGGTTGAGTTAGCTTGGCTGGTTAAATCATGTGGGTCACGACCATTAGAGAATGCCTGCAATCCAATTACCATCCCTAAATTCTCTCCTGCCAGCCTAATCAGCCTATTTGAGATCTCCCCAACACCCCGAGAAGCCAATCATGAGCTTGTGTCATTCCTCATGCCAGACCAATCACGGTCCTTGTACAGGGCCAATCTTCATTAACTGATTCTTTACTGTGATCCCTCTTTAGTGAGGCCGCAATGTTTTGCTATATCAGCATTTTAAGCCTGTTTGATGTGTGGAAACTGAGACTAATAGGTTTTTCTCATTTCGTGTTCATAGGGAGGAAGTCAACAAGGCATACAGGAAGCTGGCTGTACTGCTGCACCCGGACAAGTGTGTGGCCCCAGGCAGTGAGGATGCCTTTAAAGCAGTGGTTAACGCTCGCACGTCCCTCCTCAAGAATATCAAGTAGGAGTGTGTGTGCCCAAACATAAGTGCATCTCACATGGTTTCCATTACAAACATATTCCTCATTATGTCTGAGATATGCCATACAACATATTTTTTTAATCTTCATTGTGCCATTGAAACATTATTTATTTTAAATTATTTTTTTTAATTGCTGGCTGTGGTGTTTTCTTTGTTGAATTTGTATTATATATCTATTTATGTATAATTTTGATTATTAATTGTGCGTTAAAAACCTTGCGTGAGCCAGGGCAGTTTAAATATGCTGTCACAATATTTGAAGTACAAATAACATTGTAACACCACAAAAGTGTTTTGTTTGTTTTTTCGCCTCAAGATTTCATCAAAAACCAACAAATGACCCTTTAAGACTATCAAAAACTTAACCATCTTCCCTTGTTTTAAGTTGATCAGCTTCACATTGCCATTAGTTGGAGTTGGAGTTCCCTTCTCAGTGAAGATTACGCTTAAGACACATGGAGAAGCCCGTGGACTCTAACAAAGACTTAGTTACAGATGAGTTTGATGTACAGCTATGGTATGACATAGTCACCAAAGTTGTCCTGTTTACTTTAAAATGTAACATACATGTTCATGTCAAGTTGTGATAGTGAAAACAATGCTTTAAGCCCAGATAATATGTACTTCACATCACCTTAGAGCATGAGGATGACTTAGGTGGACCGTTCCTTTTCCCAGTCTGTCCTGCTTTGCTCCCATAGACATACAGTTGAAAGACCTTTTATTTTCCTACTTATTTGTGAGTCAGATTTAGCATTTTAAATGCTGTTGTTTAATCCCAATGCATCTTGCGAGGATACCATAATCTACATGGGTGATTCCCAGTTTCCCCCGTGCTTCACCTTAACGCACTACAAAGAGGAAGGCACCAAACTGAACTGCAACTTAACCAATACCTTTGCTTCAGTGCAATTTAACAGTAGGGCTGGGCTTTAAAAATCCCAAGTCTTGATGACATTTGATGACAGATTCTGCTAACTAGTGTTTTGATGAGAATCAAATTTGAGGACAAACATCAATACATTTAAATCAACCTGTTCAAGAACTGTGGTATTTCATGCAAATGCAATTTGTTAATTTGACTAAGGTTATGTACTTTTGGTTATTAAATAGGCTTTTTTTTTAAATAATGGATTTACCAAACATACACTACCGTTCATAAGTTTAGAGTCAGTACATTTTTTTAAAGGAATTAAGAAAGGCTGTGTTAAATTGATCAAAGGTGAAAGTACATTATACAAGATATTTACATAGTTATAAAAGATTTCTATTGGGAAAGATTCTATTCTATTAATCTTTTCTGAGATATTGAATATTGAGGCCGGCTACACAATACTCGTTCCCTCATCTAGAGAGAACCGAGGTTACGTTGGGTAACCGATTCGGTAGCTTGTGTATATATACACATATATATGGTTGTTTTCTCTACTTTGAACTGTAATAACCATGAAAGGAACTCTCTGTGAATCTGTCACAGTGATGGTATCTGATCCCAGGATAACGAAAGAATAAAGGAGCTTTGTTTACACCAACATTAGATTAGATAAAAATAACGCAGACAAAACTGTTACATTAGCAGAGCATTGTAGATGTGCCAACATGCATTAGTTCAACAATGTTTTGTTTGGCCCTTGTATATTAATAATATTCACTGTAATGCAAGTGTATCAAATGTATTTTTTTATGGAACCATGGTGTTTACAACATGATGTGGGTTCACATGTGCAATCTAACCATTATTTATATTTTCAAACAAGTTCACGTTTTGTGATCTCTATTTCATGTTTATTTCGAAGGGCATTTGATAATGTGATGCCTTATTCTCTATGATAGACTATGTAATGTATCTGAACAATGTTTGACTGTTGCGTCATCTGTAGATGTGAAAAGATATTTCATTAGCTACCCTTACTACACATTATCTGGAATCACCTTTGTTTCCACCTTTTGGTTCATTGTGTGACATTGATATGTTTGAGTATAAAATGTGTTAAAGCATGAATAAGAAGCATGTTTGTGATTATGCAGAAAAGAAAGATGTGGCAAATGAATGCCAAGGCCACTGCTCAATGGGGAAAAGTGTCTCTGTTTTATGCACAGAAGCATTCACTTTCTTCATTCGGCTAATATAGCGTATAAGGAAAGCACCAAACCGAATAAAGGAATAATTTTAAATCACTTTTGGTCCCTTTTGATTTCTTCAAATCTCCTCAACCACCACCAATCTCTTCAACCATCACCAATGTGCAGCATCCACCTGGATGATGTGACGGCAGCCATATTGCGCCAGACACCCACCATACACCAGCTTATTGGTGGAGAGCAGACAGTGATGAAGCCAGTTAGTGTTTATACATGGGGGATTATTAGGAGGCCATGATGGACAGAGGCCACTGGGCAAATTTGGCCAGGACACCGGGGTTACACATCTACTCTGTCGAAAGTCATCCTCGGTTTAACATCTCATCTGAAGGACACTGCTTTTTGATCTCTATACTGGGGCGTTAGGACCCACAAAGGCCACAGGGTGAGGCCTCACTAACACCTCTTCCAGCAGCAACCATAGTTTTCCCAGGTCTCCCATCCAGGTACTAACCAGGCTTAGATTCAGTCTTGGGCTACAGGATGATATGGCTGCTGGCTTTAGAAATACTACGAAAATTAATCCAGGGGGTTAAATGCAACTCAAGATTGTTTAGCCCAAGTCATCCACTAAAGTGACTGAAACAGATGGTTCAGTCACTTTCTGACCTGGCACATATTGCTGGTAACCAGATCAGTGAGAAGCACTTTATCCAGCTTAGTTCCCTCATTCTCTGAATCAGTGACCTAGCCTGCTAAGTGCTAACTAAAACCCTGCTTTGTGTCTGCACAAAAGCAGATGTCAACCAATCACAAATTATCACTTGTTCTCCTTATAAAGTACTTATGTATCTGGGCAAGATGGACTAGATATTGTGAAAACAAAAAAACACTTTAAACCAACTATTTGAAACATGGAGTAAACAAAACAGGGCTTTCCAACAAATACATTTACAGAGCAATTAGATTTTAAACTAGCTCTTGCCTCCACACATAAACTCACCAGCCCATGGACATTATCCTGTTAGCTGTGAGGCCTTACTGGATCACATGCGCTATTGCTGAGTAGATAATCCCCTATATTCAAACCTATTACTACCTGTGTGCGTGTGTATCTCTGTGCATGTCCATTAGATCCCAAACTCCTCTTTCACTGACTGTGCTGAGTTCAAGTCCACTTATTTTTGCCTCTAACATATCTATCAAGAGTCAAAATTCTTGAATAGGATAAGCTTCAGCAGATTGTTCCCTGCTACCTCTGGGAAATGGTCAGACAGGGTCAGGACAGCTTTTCAGACCATCTGGCAGAGCAATCACTTCATAACCCGAAGACAACGCTACTCAACTCTCAAGACAGAGTCAATCATCCGCAGACAGGGCGTCTTTTTCAACTGGACGGAGGTTGTATTATATTTACATCGCTATGCTTTGCATAGTTATGGTGCATGGCATGGCAGAAGGGAAAACTGTCAAAGAAGACTCATTCTGCACTCAGCTGCTGAGCATTACACCACTGAGGGACAAGAATTTGCCATATTAGATATTTGCTTGTGTCTGGATCAGTTTACCTGGGCTACTGTTCATGGCAGAGCAGATGCATGCATTGTTACAAGATTTATCAAGCTTGCAACACCACATCAATGGCAAGTATCCTTCCATTTATTGCATGTGGATACATAGTTTTAATCAATTTTGTTCTCTGGTAATTTTTATTATTAAATCATTTGGGGGATATTGAACTTGTTCTAGGGGTATTTTGGGGGGTATTGAACTTGTTTTGGGTGACTTAGAGTGCATTAAACTTGTTTTTGATGTATTCTTCTGAGGGGCATTTTATGTGCATTTGTTTTGACGTATTATCATTTTACATGCATTGTTAAATCATTTTAAAGTTTGTTTTTTGAGATACATACATGTTCCATCTACACTATTAAATCTTTTTTCTCTCTTGTTTCAGGTTTGTGCAGTTGATGGAGGTCTTTATCTGAGTTTTGGGATCTAAAGCCTGTTCAGGTACGATTCAGAAAATGGCTTTGAGTTCTACAGGAGTCACTTTTCAGCCTAAGGTATGCACATCTGCACCTCCCCCACCCCACCTAAAACGCAAGCAACTAATGTGGCAGAATGCGGTACGTCACATCATCGACCAACGAGGAATGCACCACGAGGGACGAGTGGCCAATTCTCACAAAATCATTGTTACTGATGCCTACATCGATGACATCAACAGGCAGATTCGTAACAAAGCTGCACGGAGCAATGCTGGCATGCACAAGCGGCGCTCCTCTGCGGCCCGCATCCACCCAGTGCGAGACCGCAACTCCACCTCCACTCGAAAGTCCGACGACTCGCTCAGTGACGCAGACTTCTTTGTGAGCTGGGGCTCCACGGTGCGTGGAGTCTTCCTTCCTGCTCTCCAACACAAGTTCAAATCACATGATCTCGAGCGTCTGTACCAGCATCATTCATCTGGTCAGCGCCGAACTTCCCTTGTAGTCACTAATGTCATCGATATCCTTACCAAACTCCATATTCTCTTCATATACCTGGCAGTGGCCCCTGAGATGGTTGACCTTCAACAAGGATGGTTGGCTGGGCTCTTCATGGCACTTGGAGCAGTCATATGCGTCTTAGTTCTAACCTATAAAGGATTGATGTGTCCAGATTACCTGCGCTATGCTGGGCTGGCGAGTTGGCTGTCCCAGACTGTTCAGGCACTGGGTAGTTTGGTATTTGGATTGGAGAAGGACCAGTCCTGGCATGTGCTCTTCACCCTGTTCGCCACCTACACGCTATTGCCTCTACCTCTTCTGTGGTCCATCTGCACAGGGTTCCTCACCGCTGCCTTGCACCTTTTGGTGGATGCCCTCAGGAACTACAATGACACGGCCATTGTAAGAAAGGTAAAGATCAAAGCTCATTAAACTTAAAAGTTCACTTTTGATTTTTGCCTTAGTGCCCAAAAGTAAAAAGACATTAATTCCCAATCGAACTTGAAGATGATCACGAGAACTGTCCTTGAGATTTTGAGTCAAGAGTTGATAAATGATTGATAAACTTTTGATAAATGCTCCATTGTTATGGCACAAGAGTACACCAGTATCAGAATCTCAAGACTGTCTTCAATCACTTTTAACTAAGCTAACTCTTAGCTAACTTTTACTCTTGGTTTTCGTCCAGTTACTAGCGAAAGGTCTGTTGTACATGGGTATGAATACGGCAGGACTGTTCATCCACTACTTATCGGATCGTGCACAAAGACAGGCGTTCCTTGAGACGCGACGTTGCATTGAAGGACGAGTCAAGATGGAGCAAGAGAACAAGAGACAGGTTTGTGATTCTTGACTTAGTATGATTTTCATAGATCATTAATCTGGAACCTCAGGAAATGAGAAATCATTTTGCGTTAGGAACGCTTGGTGATGTCCATTCTTCCTCGGTTTATTGCTATGGAGATGATTGGTGATATGACTTCTATGGATGATGAATTACTTCCTCAACAGTTCCATAAGACCTACATTCATCAATACAAAGACGTCAGGTACACACTGCTTCCTGTGCAGTACTACCTTCCAGCACATTTAGACTGCGAGGATGGTTCGTGAAATGAACATATATGTGCTCTTGTCTCAGTATCCTGTTTGCTGATATAAAAGGCTTCACCTCTCTCTCCATGACCATGTCGGCTCAGGAATTGGTGCGCACACTCAATGAGCTGTTCGGCCGCTTTGATCGCCTTGCTGAGGTGAGAAAGATTAACCTTTGAGTTTTACGGGCAGTTGGAGAAAACGGTTTTGGTCAATGTGTGTTTGACTGTAATTTACCGTATGAGCTGGAATTGTTGTAACTATTGTAAATATCACAACAGTCACAATTAATTTTAGTGTCAGATGTCTTACTTTATGCCAAAGTGTAGAGATGTGCAATGTTAGAAGATTATTAAAAGATATCTTTTGATATTTTAGGAGAATCATTGCATGAGGATAAAGATTCTTGGAGATTGTTACTACTGTGTGTCTGGGGTCCCAGAGCCCCAAACCGCACATGCTCGCTGCTGTGTGGAGCTGGGTCTGGCCATGATAAACACTATACGGTGTGTATTTTACGTGTTAGACACCCCCACCCCCCACTCAAAGGGTTTGTGTCTAATTCTCAATGTCTTTCCTGATCCAGAGATTGTAAGCAAGCTAGTCAAATGTTGATTTCCCCCAAAGACTTGCTCTAGCGCGCCACTAACATTAAATCTCAGATTATCCACGCGTGTAAATGGTACCATAACAAATTAATCTGATTGTGGGTGAAGAAATCCCCATTTTCTCCATTTTTGAAGGTGATCTGAGCAATGCTCCTCAGTCACTGATTAAGGCCTTATTATTCGTTACGTCATTGTATTCATACAAATACAACCAAAAACAAATTTTCAGTCTTGCCTGTGAAAGGTACTTCCTCGAAAGCTGTTTTCAATTGTGTGGCGATTTGTACAGCCCCAAGCAGCGCACAAAACAGGCATTTTTCTCAATTCCCGGCATGAGAGGTATGGGAAAGTTGCCATCCCCAATATGGCGGCGCCATTGACGTACGCTCCAGCGGCCAATAGGGTGTCAATGTATTTATTATGTCTATGCTCCTATTGGGCTTCAATTCTCTCCATTGAAATCAAGGGGGTCGCTGTGTCCATTTCTTTTACTGTCTATGATCGGAAGTGCCAAGACTCTCCATAGACGGACTCTGGTATAATCTGATAACAGCACCAACCTAACAGACCCTTGTGTAAACAAGTGATTGCGTGTAGCCAAAGCTAGCTCCCTAGCAACCCTACACGCATACAAGTTAAAGCCCTTTACCTCAACCGATAGCTTTTAGCGCCTGGCTAAAACTTAGACACGTGTGAATGTAACCTTTAAACCAAAGACTATAGACGAAGGGACAGTGATTTGAACACAAGTGATGATGAGAGACAAAGCTCCTCGAATTGAGGATTGCTTTGAATTGAGTCAATTGCGTAACAAATGATTTATTGTTTTGAACCCCGCTGGTGACCCCTGCTGGAAGTGTTTGAGCTCTATTGGAACTTTGCAGGACGTTTACCCTCTTTTTGAATATTCATATTCTGTTATTTCCAAGTTGCCTTATAGAAATTTAAGTCCATTTCTGTTGATGAAATCAAAAGAGATGATCAAAAATGGGAACAATGTTATTCTTCTCTCTCCTTTTGTCAGTTATGTACGTAAGGAGCTGAAGAGAGATGTGGACATGCGTATCGGGATCCACTCCGGTTCGGTTCTGTGTGGGGTTTTGGGTCTGCAGAAATGGCAGTTTGATGTGTGGTCTTGGGACGTAGACGTTGCCAACATGCTAGAGGCTGGAGGAGTCCCAGGGTAAGTATACTGGATCAATACCATGGTCATATGTTTAACTAAATGCAATTGATATTAGAATAATAAAACAAATTGTATAATATTAGGAGGATTCATATATCACAAGCAACCTTGGACTGTCTAGAGGGTGTATATGAGACAGAAGAAGGTCGAGGCCATGAACGGAATGAGTTTTTACGCAAACACAAGGTCGACACTTTTCTGATCCGCCAAACCCCACAGGAAGACAAGGAGCCTCCTAAAGTCCGGCAAACCAGCAAAGATGAAACTACATGGAGTGCTGAGCTTCCTTTTGATAACATCATTGGAATGAACTGCGTGAGTCTGCTGGCCTTAAAACCTTACTTCTCTTTCTAGTTAGTGATAAGATATAAAGTTATCAAACCTGTTAAATAGTGCCATACAATGTTATTCATTGAATTCTTTAGTATACTAAAGGAATTTTCCAGGACGGATACAGGTTAAACTTTATCATCAGCATCAGTGGCATGGCAGATTACATTAGAAAATGATTTATAAAAGACTAGTCTCTTGTTTGTAAAGCTAAACAAAAATCATGTTTACAGTAAGCATTTAATATGGAAGTCTGTGTGCAAGGCAAAGTGGTGTAACCAGACCATCATGTCACGATTTGATACATATCATGAACCTGAACTCACAATACAATATTTTTGCAATACTCCGACATGTGGTAAAAGGTTAACAAAAAATTATGTTGATTAAAATGCTAAATTTGGTATTACATTGGGGGTGTAAATGAATAGACTTGGACTTGGTTCTGGTAACCCAATGCACAGGACAATGGTGACACCAGAATATAAGATATTCATGATTCTGATGCTGAAAATACAGAGTTATTTTAGACGAATATGCTTGCACTCATTGTCATTGACTAGATATATTTAAAATTACGTATGCCACTTTATACTGGTAACATGAGACATTTGGCATTATCAGGACCCACAAAAATTCCCCCATTGCATTATTATACATTATATTCAACATTATAGTAGTGTAATGTGTTACTGACACTAAAACTCTGTAAACTTGAATTTGCACCACGATACATATTGTGACATGATATATTGTTACACCCATAGTTATTTCAGTTGTTAGCTGTTAGCATTGGGAAATAGCATTAAATTTCAGCCAAAAACCAATATCAGTTCAGTTCATTTGTCCCCATAGGGAAATTAAGTTTGCAGCCTACTCACACAGACATTTTAAGAAACACAATTTGATATACATACATACAATACATGTGCAAGCCAAGTACATGGTACAGGTCATCCATCTCTATTAATAATTGTAATAGATTTTCTTTTTCACTTGCAATGCTTTTTGTTTTGTCATCTTTTAGATCTTAGCCACTTTCACCAATGGCTCCCTAGTGCAGTTGCCCAATCAGATTATTTCCCATTGTGCCGGGTCTCGAGAAATCAACAAGAGAATCAAGCAGGCCATCGAGGTGCGCAGTAGTGAGCGAATGCGCAAGGAACACATCACACCCTTCACATTGGTCTTCAAAGATGCACACATCGAGGGAAAGGTATTGACTGCAGAGGAACAGCTTTATATGTCATAGAGCACTTGCCCACACAAGATTTGCACTTTCAGTTTTCTCAGATGCGAGATGAGATGTTTAAGTCCAACTTGGCCTGCTCTTTCCTCATGCTCCTCTTCATCATGGCTGTTCAGGCCCTCATCCCCTCACCTCAGTGAGCTATTATTATTATTTCAAAAGCCTAATGTGGACTTTCATTGAATTTTAAAATGTGTTACATTTTCGATATATAACTCTGAATGCATGTGTCTGAATGCCCCCACAGAATCTGTCCTATGGTAATCCAGTTTTTAGTATTCCTCTTTGTCTACATGCTACTGCTTCTGGTCACACTGGCTGAGGAGTTTAAGCGCTGCCCACCATACTTACAGCATCTCTGTTGTTGGATCCACGAGACCAAGAGCATCCGTAACCTGCTCACCCTCGTCGCTATTACTATTAACTTTGGTGTGGCCTCCTGTGATATTGTGAGTGCCAAAATTGGTAGTTTTCTTGGACCCAATTATCTTAATGATCAAAAAAAAAAAACTTAATTTATTTTTTTGCTGTACAGTTGTGGTGTAACACAGTTGGAGAGGATGAGGAAACTAACAAGACCTCCAAACAAGGCTCACAGTGGACTGTGAACATCTGCACCCATCCTGAGGTACGGTAGATACATATTCATACTTTGCACGTGACGTCACAAGTACTGGCTGGCGGGCAAGAACAATGAATGACTTATGGGCCGGGAGCAGTGTAAACGCAGCTGTCGTATTTTGCCAACAACAACAAAAGTGTGTGATAGGTTGTTTTGAGGTTTGTGATATCTATGCTAGATCATTTACAGAGGAATTTTTACTGCTCGATTGTCTAAAAAAAACACAAATTAATTACCTGCTTTACACAAATTAACTACCTTCACCTTGGAGTTAATCCTAGTCCATAGTTATCCGGACAGACTTGATTGAACTACAGGACTCTACGTTGAAAATAACAGTTTGTTGCCTGCCAGGCATCCATAGTAGTCACGTGACTGCAAAGTATGAATTAGATACAAAAGTGTGACAACTTCCAGTAATTCTTAATCTGGTACTATGTATACCATTTCTGTGACTACACTACTATTAAACTCTTTGTCTCTCTGCAGTTCTTCGTTTTTAGTGGTGTGTTGGCCATGGTGACGTGTGCCGTGTTCCTCAGACTCAGCTGTCTGTTGAAGCTGGCAGTGCTGATGTTAGTCATTGCAGTTTACACATACCTCATTGAGGTAGCCTTCCATGTGCTCTTTATCCGCCAACACCAAAACGGCCAAATTCAGAGGTACAATACTTTGCTTAATTGAAGAGGTCATATCTCATACCAAGTTTCTGAATGTGGTAATGTGTTCGACTTTAAGACACTTAGGCATTTCGATGATGAATAAGCCATTTTTGCAATGTTTTTATCATTGTTGTTTAGAGTCAATTTACAGTTTTGAAAGTAATAAAAATTAAACTTTTTTTAATCTGAAAAAGCAATATTAGTTGAGACTAACACAAAGAATAAAGCATTTTCTTAACTTGGTGATATTTATAAATGTAAAATTACATTTTGTTAATGATTAATGTGCATTTAAAGTGTAAAGGAAATGTTTTTTTGTTATTCTTTTAAAACTTTTTAGAGCTTTTTAATTTTAATAACAATTGAAATTGTACAGACATTTTTTAATGTAAAATTGCATATGTTTAAATTAAAATGCAGATTTGGTTATCATTGTTTGTCACTGACCATTAAATAGTACATCAGACTTTTTTAGAAAGTCAAAAAAAAATGTTCATGACATGACCCCACCAATTTACTTCCTGGACTGTTGAATTGTTGTAGCCCCTCTGATGTGTGTATATGTGTGTTTTTGCCCAGATCTCAGTACCTCAGACGCAAAGGCATTTCTGTGTTGCTAATGGCCATGTTTGTTGTGGTCGTCCTTTACAACAGTAGACAGGTAGTATATTAACATCTTATTAAAAAAAAATATTATAGGAATGCAGTGATTTAAATAACAATATAATTACATAAAATCATTACATATTTATTTATTTAACAATTAATACATATATTTATTTTTAATTATACGAATAACAGTCAAATCACCACTTAGCTTTAATTATCATCCCATTGTAAAATAACTGAAACAATAAAAGCTGACATGCAATTTATATTTTGTGTTTTAAGTTATCTCAGTATAATTTAAGAAATTATTACTGCTTAAACCTACAGTTAGAAACTACAGCCAGGCTTGACTTCCTGTGGCGTCTGCAGGCCAGAAAGGAAGTGGAGGACATGAAGGAAATGAGGGAGCATAATGAGTGTCTGCTGTACAACATTCTTCCTGGCCATGTAGCTCGCCACTTTCTCGAGAGAGACAGGAACAATGAGGTAGTTGCGTGGATTATTAATGACAAACCCTAATAGTTTAACAATAATGTAAGTAATAACTTTGTCAAGCTGTTTTCAAAATGAGGATCTACTTGGTGCATTTAAATTGTTCTAGCATCTATGCACTCTTCTTGAATCAATAAGTATAAATAAATGAACAGTAACACGACTGTATTAACTCTTTGGCTTCAAGGACCTGTTCTCTGAATCGTATGAGCGAGTTGGGGTGATGTTTGCTTCCATTCCAGACTTTACGGATTATTACGAGAAGAAAGAGTTGATTCATCAAGATGTGGAGTGCCTGCGTCTTCTTAATGAGATCATCGCTGACTTTGATGAGGTACGTGGATTTGTGCAGCATCCTCTTAGCAACAAATGTCGTCAAAAGCCCAAGCCTGGACATGCTCAGCGATTTAACGGCTAATAGCAGCTCAGGTGTTTCTATACTGGAATGTATAGGCTATGTGCAAACACTCACTTCTTTTATCATAAGACATTGTTATAGTGAAATATTTCAGAGACAGGCTTACTTTTTCCCCCCCGGTTGTTCCCTTAGCTACTGGAAGAGCCTTACTTTCAGGACATAGAGAAAATCAAAACCATTGGCAGCTGCTACATGGCTGCTTCTGGATTGTCTCCTGAAAAACAGGTGAGTGACACCTTGACATGTGATTTCAAAATGTATGCCTGACAATAAATGCAGATGCATGAAATATAGGCTACTGGACAACCATATTTGTTGTAAATACTATCCACACCAGTTTAATTAGGTCAATATTGGAATCAGATAAAAATATACAAGAAAAAATAATAAATTCATAATAATTAATAGTAATTAAATAGTTTAGTAACTGAAAAGTTACATTTTTGTAAATTAAGGCTCAACTGTATTTGTATATTTCATAGGAATGTGAAGACGAGTGGGCTCACCTCAGTACGCTGGTTCTGTTCGCTTTGGCCATGCAAGAAACTTTGAAAGAAATAAACAAACGTACCTCAAACAACTTCCAGTTGCGTGTCGGTAAGATTGTGCTCTTCTCATATAATGTCTCTACTAGTAAAAACCAAGTGCTTATATAAGATTCTTCTTATTTTATAATTTAAGAATAAAGATGAGAATATTTTGTATTCCCAAACAACTTTTCTCAAGAATTTCTTAAGAATGCTCTTTAAAATCATCATAAATAACTTCTTAAAATTAGGATAACCTCCATCCTGTCATTAGGCTGCCTACAACACAACACTAGCTACATACAAAATACTACCAGTAATGTGGACGAGTAGACTACCCTGAAGTGACACCATTCGATCATGAAAATCGCTACTCTAGCTAGAACTAGCAAGGCAGAACGCACAGACGAAATAAGACAGAACGCAAATGAATCCATTCACTCCAAGCCAGTTGCGATGAAAATGGTCTGTGAATTTAATATTTGATAAAGATGGTTTTTAAGAATTGGACTTAGTTTTTAAGAACGTTCTTAGGAACTTCTTGGCATTTCCTTCCCCCCGAAAATCCATTTTGTTTCTTGGACAAAATTTTTATATCTGAATATGAACTATGAATACACACACACACACACACACAAATGACTTTATGACCCAGAGGAGCTATAAGGCCATCTAGAGGCAAGAGTCATGAAATATCATGTTGAGCACGGCAAATACCACAAGAGTTCGGCAAAGTCACCAAAATTGACCCCAATCTGAGACATTTTGAGCTGATCTATCCTGGTTTATGCATGTTTCGAAGAGTTATTTTGAATTTAAGTTGAAAGGATGTGACTGTGCTTAAATGATCATTTATTTATATATTTTTTTGTAATTTAAATGTAAATTTAAAAAGATAATACAAAATCTCCCCCCCCCCCCCAAATCATTAAAAATATATAAAAAATAAGTTCTGGAGTATTCTCTAGAGTCTGTACAAAATAAAAAGTATAAAGTATAATTTAAGGGCTTCTGGTCATTTTGAACCACAAGGGAAGGATTTGTCACAGAATCCGAGGAGAGGATGAGAGTTAACTTTTGCCTTGTAATCTTTACAATGGTTTTGATCTTTAACTGTTGTAACTACCTTAGCTCTTCTTCTGAAAGATCATTAATGTGCATAAAACTGGTCCTCTATCACACAGGTATTTCTCATGGGCCTGTAGTCGCCGGGGTGATTGGCGCCACTAAGCCCCAGTATGATATCTGGGGCATGACTGTGAATCTCGCTAGCCGGATGGACAGCACAGGGCTCAGTGGGCGTATTCAGGTCCCGGAGGGCACGAGCCGTATCCTGGCCGACCACGGCTTTGTGCTCCAGCTTAGAGGAGATATCTACGTCAAAGGGGTTAGCGAGCAGCGGGGAGGGGTCCGCACATACTTTGTTAGCAGCAGGGAAAAGAGCTCAAGCTACGGCGAGAGGATCACCAGCAGAGGGATCTCTCTCGGGAGGAACACCCTCGCTGCTGTGGTCTTTACCCTGGTGCAGGCCCGCAAGAAAGAGCAGTTACGAGAGGCCAGTGGAGGCTTTCATCTCATGGAGATAACATGAGTTTTGATTGAAAACTGGACAGGAACCACATTCAATACCTCTTTTAGAGACTCTTTCATGAGTCATTGCCTTTAAGTGATTTTCCATTTTCTCTGTATTTTTTTGTAAATACTAATAACTTGAATAACTTACTAAAAGTAATAACTTTATTTCGCTTGTAGGATTTCCTCTGATTTCCAAAGTCGTGTTACTTTTGTCCTGAAAATCACTGGGATTTTTAGGCCTGGTTTCACAGACAAGGCTTAGATTAAGCCAGGATTAGGCCTTAGTTCAATTAGTGCATTTAAGTAGCTTTTTAATGTGCTTTAGAAAAAAAAAAATCTGGTGTGCATCATGAGACAAAACAATGACATTTTACGTTATGTCACTACAAGTTTACAGGTTCACTACAAGACTAGGTTTAAGCCTTGTTTGTGAAATTTCTAACTTTAACCCCAGGGTCAAAATAGGCAGAGCTGCAAATTAAATATTCCTCATCTTGGAACAAGACCAAAATAGTGTACAAAACCTATAAGGAACTCTGGATTCAACTTATTAAACTGAATTTAATTAGAGGTCATATGCATATGCGCTCTGATGATCAACTGCCCTGACAGAATAAATGTGCAAATGTGGAGAGTAAAGTATGGTGGCCCAGTAGTGCACAATGAAATTTAAAAATCAAACATAAATTCATAACACAACACAACTGAAATGCTCTAGACCACTAGAGGGCTCTCATAGGCTTAACGGACATAAAAGCTATAAATTCCTGGATTATTATTCAGTGTATCAGATTTTCTATGAAAAGCATCTAAGCAGAATATTTTAACAGTTTGTGAAACTGGTGACAAAATGACAATGCCAAATTTCTTTGTCTCTCTCTCTCTCTCTCTCTCTCTCTCTCTCTCTCTCTCTCTCTCTCTCTCTCTCTCTCTCTCTCTCTCTCTCTCTCTTTCTCTTTCTCTTTCTCTTTCTCTTTCTTTCTCTCTCTTTGGTAGACCTACACTTAAGTATTTCTGGGACACACTACCACATGTAGGCCACCAAAGGTTGCAGTGTTTCTAAATATTCAACAGCCGTTACAATTTTGGAATATATATTATATATATCTAGGGATACTTAATATATTGGTGATTTTTTTTAATACATAATATCTTCCAAACATAATATCTTCCAAAAAAAAAGTTCAACATTCTAATTTGGCCATTAATGAATGCAGATAAAAACATTTAAAACATTATAAACATAATACTAAATATACTAGTATACATATTAGTTTTTTGGCCAACATGAAAAGAATTCTTTGTAATCAGCATAGTTAACATGTTTAGATATTACTGTTTAAAGGTGTATGTTATACTAGGACAATTGTGAACAATTCTGTGGTAGAAAGATTTAACTTTTCTTGTTACTTTAAGCTTGGTGCCTTCTAGAAAACATTAAATCATTGTAAAAAATAATTGTAATGTATCTTTGAACCATGGTGTTTTCTTGGGGTGACTACATTGAAAAAACATTACCTTTTCATAAAAAGGATCAAATAAATACGTTTTAAAAATAAGCTGGCTACGTTTGTTACACTATAAGGACAGTAACTGCTTGTTTAATAAAACATATATATATATATATATATATATATATATATATTTGTTTTGCTTGTAATTAAGTATAATTTCTGTTATTACTTTAGAAACTACATGTAACAGAGACACTGTAAAATAAAATGTGCCACAAATTATAATTTTCTGTCTGTAATTCTCGTGCAGTAGGCATAGGGGAGGGTGGGGTAAGATGAGCCAGTTTTTACTTATGTGGATCTCCAGGCAAGGGAAATTGAGACAAAAGTACAATGAAGACATCTCCTGTTAATTTGGGATGTTGCCTAATATGACACCAAATGTTTATAGTTGCCTGGAAACAGGGGGTGGTGGGTCAACTTACCCACTGGTTCATCGTACCCCACTCTCCCTTCGCTTGTTCCAAATCTAGACTATTGGATTTACTCAAGGTTTCAAAAATTAAACGTAAAGTAATTAATTTTCTTGAATTACTTGTGTGCTAAAACAAATTTGTTGTTGTTGTGTTTTTTTTTTTTTTTTTACCAACCTTCCCAAATGTGATTCTCCATACATGCTAACCGTGTATCGATAAGAATCTGTTCACGTGACGCAGTGCTCATAGTTCGTCAGCTCACTGACAGTGACAGCAGCGCTCATCTCACTGATTTGATCGCAGCATTCTGGGGGAACACAGGGAATTAAAATGTCGATCACAGCCGACGAGATTAAGAATAAATTACACTCTTCAGGGGATGACCTCGTTTTCTTCGTTAATGGGAAAAAGGTAATTGGAGAAATTAATTTACATGTGTTTCACTACGTGTTTCAAACATTTTGCTTCTGATTTTTCCCCTGGGTTAAAGTTGTTAGCCACTACGGTCAAACATGTGTTTTCCATAATTAATTCTGTGCAGATCACTGAGAAGAATGCAGAGCCTGAGACAACCCTCTTGACATATTTAAGGAGAAGCTGTATCCTTTTTGATCCGTTGCTCTGCTGAACAGTCTCTGTGTGTTGAAACTGAAAGCTTTTTTTCTTCTAAACAAAAGTTACATTATTAGACCATAACCCCAGCATTTACGACACTGATATTTCTGTCTTGTGGAGTTGTTTTTGGTTAAATTGAATGATTTGCACCTGCTTGAGATTGCGTTCCTTTGACTATTCATGAGGTTTGCTCACATCAGTCAGTCAGGTTATTTAATTGCGTCACTTTCATTTAGTTGTTTTTGCTCATGAAAAAGTGCTGATTTGTTTCTATAGGCCTATATAATCAAGCCTGTCCCTTATTCTAATTTCCATACAGTAGTATGATTGTATAAAATACATAACGTTGAGATAAATGTAATAAATGAACAGCTGTGGAGAATTTTGTTGATTTTATTCCCCCTGCATTTTGATAAAAACTCCTGAATGTGATTAATTGTACAGAATGTGAATCAATTAGATTTTACACCAACAAAAGTACTTAGTAAGAGTCAAATCAGGTACAATGTTGAAAAAAAAAAGTTTTTGCTTTTTTTTAAGTATAGAAACTTGGATGTTTAAGTCATTTCAACTTAAATTGTATTTAACAGACTAAAAAAATGTGTTAATATAAAAAAAGTTGTCATCGTAAGTTTTTACAGTGTAGAAATAATCTGTGACATCATTTTAGCATATTTTCTTTAATTGGTCAATTTTTGTTAACTTCGTCAATCATTTACATTACACCACTACTGATTCAAGTGACATTTATTGATCCAAAAATGTCGTTTTGGACTGCCATCTTATTGACCTTGAAATTGTACATTACCATTTTGTACATTGTAGCAATTTTGTACTACTCATTTAGGCCTACACTGATTTGATAAGACTGTTGTTTTTTCAGTGTGACTGTTTTCCTTAGCGTTGATGTTTGCAGTGGGTCTGACAGGAACCAAACTGGGATGTGCTGAAGGAGGTTGTGGAGCCTGCACTGTAATGGTGTCCAAATATCATCCACATCAGGACCGGATTATGTATCTTTTTATGCACTCTGTGCTAGATTTTTCCCCTACACACCTGACTTGGGTTAAACTGAGTCAATACACCTGAAAATATTATACTCAGTTGAGTTCACCTCTGACCACTTGGGTTGATGCCTATTCTGACTGCATAAAATGCCTAAAAATTATAGTAAAAATTATAATTATAGTATAAAAATTATAGTTATAAATTATATGGTCTTGTTCCGTTCAAACACTGTCACTTGGGAATAAGGTCTCTATGTCCACACCATCACTTGGGAATATAAGTAAGATCTCTAGTGTTTCACTAAATATCTAACTTGCTGCGCAGCATTAACTAGACAGACTCCAGACAATGCCTTTGAATATTCTTTAATCACTTCTGGAGGATCTCAGACAAATATCAGAGAGAATCCTACCAGCAAAAAGAATGCAACACTTTTTATAGAATAGGAGCATGTCAAAAATGACATGATACATTACATAATTAACTACATTTTGATTGATTATTCAAATGCAAATCCTTCTGTTACTAGGTAGGAGCAAACTTGGATCTCAAATCATTAAAATATGGAAAAAGTTAGAAATTCAGTTGGTTGCTCAATATGTCATGAGACTATTATAAACAGTATATTTTTGATATTGTCTCGTCAGCATTAGTTAAGAGTTAAAAGAGAAGTAAGATTAGATGTTAGTAAATCGCCATTTTGCAATAAAGTGCATTGATCTCCTTAAAGTCTGGAACAGATTCATGATGATGATAGCTATTAACAATTTAAATATCATTTTGAAACTTATGCCAGAGTTAAGTCCTTAATGACACTCTTTAAGTCATTATGCGGTTAATGCCTGTTTGGCTCCTCTCTGCTCTTTGCATCACTGTGCAATAACAACCGTGGAGGGCATCGGCAGTGTGGCAAGCAAACTCCATCCTGTACAGGTCTCAATTTTATCTTATTATCTCTGATAATAATGAGCAAAGGATGTCAGATTACCTAACATTATGACCACTTTTCCTTCCTACATTCATTACAGTTTCAATAATCTGCATCACTTGATATATTGCTGTTCTGCTCATTTGTGGTGTAGTATCTCTGACAACATTGTTCTAATTTTCATCCAGGAGCGAATTGCAAAAGCTCACGGGTCACAGTGTGGGTTCTGCACGCCAGGAATTGTGATGTCTATGTACGCTCTTTTAAGAAACAACCCTCAACCCACTATGCATGACATTCAGGAGGCTTTTCAAGGTATATTAACAGTCATATCTTCTTCATTTTGTTAACTTTTAGCTCTTAATGTAATTTTTTTTAACCGTTTTGCTTTTAAAATTGGTTGCACACAGGCAATTTATGTCGATGTACTGGGTACAGACCTATTCTGGAAGGCTACAGGACATTCACAAAGGTAAAATTAAATATATAATAGTTTGTGAGAGTACGTGGGAGTTTATGGGTGTACACTAAAGAATTATATTATCAATGAGTTATGACATTGCTTAAACTCATCAAAATATATATATATTTTATAAGTTCCATAAGATTCAACTTATTTTGTTAAGTCTGTTTAATGTCATTTAATTTGACATGACTTAAACATCCATGTTGATTGTACATCTTTTTTTACAGTGCAAATTATGACTTATATCCAAATGATAATTTGCCGCAAAGTGCAGCTAAAAACTGCTTAAAGGGATAGTTCACGCAACAAATCAACATTATGTTATCATTTACTCACCCTCAAATTGTTCCAAAGTTTCTTTCTTCTGTTGAACACAAAAGAAGATATTTTGGTAACCAAACGGTTTACGCTAGCATCATCTTGGCTTATTACAAGTACAAGATTAATATTTCCAGGTAGTCTGAGCTGATATAAGGAATATTACTGGAAAATAAACAGAATTACCATATAATATCTTTAGTTTAATATCTGCCTCTTCTAATTTCAGGATGGGGGATGTTGTGGTGGGAAAGGACAAATGAATGGCTGCTGTATGACTAATGGAAACACACAAGAGCATGTCAATGTGAGTGGAACAGACATCCAGACACTATGCTCTATTTTCTATGAGCACAAGCATGTTTTTGGCCTTAAGTCTTTCCTTTTATGATAAAACTTAAGCATAGCTGGAAATGAAATCAATGACATGGCAGCCATTGCATTCTCATAGGAAACCAGTCACATGTTTGAACTGACACTCATAAGCATGTGAGGTCAAATCTACAACCGTGAAACAAACAGGCACTTCAATATCACTGTTTCACAATCACAGCACAGCCTATCAGTGCTAAATGTTATCTAAGGACTTTTCATCTGCAAGGTGGTGCTAGTTGCCCATTTGTACTTTTACAACTATTTTTGACATTTCTTTCTCTATTTCTAGGACAATTCAACACTTTCAGCTCAGAAATTGTATGACCAATCAGAGTTTATGCCACTGGACCCGACACAAGAGATAATTTTCCCGCCTGAGCTCATGGTGTGTATAAAATAAAAAGTTTGATTGACCATCATTGTAAAATGGCTGATTACTGTATTAAATGGATGCATCAACAGTTTACGTTATATTTGTGCTCTACAGAGTCTAAGTAAACAGCCCCAAAGAGAGCTGAGGTTTATAGGGGAAAGAGTGTCTTGGATTCAACCCAGCTCCCTCAAGGAACTCCTGGAGCTGAAGGCGACCTATCCAAACGCTAAACTAGTGGTTGGGAACACAGAAGTTGGTGAGGCCCACATACATTAAGAATATTAATTACATGAAATTAGTATAAATTATACAGTTAGTTCAGGTCCTTGAATTTGATTTTCTAATAGTATGAATGTAATGTGGATGTATATTCGTCATGTTATCATTGGCATATGACCGACAGTGTCACAACTCCTCTTCCGTAGCCTCAAGTGTCCATCAGATTCGCGCTTCAAAATCTCGCCAGAAATATGTCCAGGAACCATTGTTTCTGCATGTTACATTGTTATGCCAGTAGGTGGCAACAAGTGACGGTCATTTAAAGGT